TGGAACACGGCTGCTTCGCACATTGGACGGAGGGCACCCGGCGCATGAGCCCCAACCAGCCCCCTTACCGACCTTTTCAGCTCTTACACGCGCCCCCAACAACCATTCGTCCGCTTGTTCTCCTTACTATTATTATCCACCTTTGCTTTTGTCGGTGTAGACTACCAAGCCCTCGTATTGAGCCAATTTGTTGGTCGGATAATCAAGGAAATGAACTGGCTCCAGCCGTGTCTTGATCCAGGCCTCGACTGAAAGAAACGCCCTTGAATTCCTTGTATCTACCCCTACCTACACACCGACTTCTTCCCAAGGCCTTGGAATGCGATTTGGAATCACTCTTACACTACGACCTCGGCTGGAATGGATAGAGAGTGACATGCCAAGGCTCTGGACAGTCAGAGTTCATGGGCTTCATTAATTGCTCTTAGCTGCAGCAACCCCTGACCCTTGATCGCCCTCTGTGCGATTGATAAGGAAAGAATTTTCTTTCGGCCGACCGTGCTTGTGTCCGAGCCTTGCATACTCGGAGCTGAAAAGCTCTCATGGGTGCCTGAGGTCGATCAGTGGGTATTTTGCAGATGTGGTTATGTCTCTGACTGCCAGTACCACCTCACAATCATACGACGGGATCTCACATCTCCCGGGCTGATTGTAAGGCATGAAGGTAAGGGGCAGAAAAAGCTTGGCCGAACCCGAAAAGTCAAATCCATCATCCTCCCCTGAAGTCCCACAAAAGGAGTCATCATCGATCCATCTGTCCCAACGGAATAATAGCCCCCAGAGAGGAAAATGGGGTGTGTGTATGGATACTACATACAGGCACCACTGGGGTTGATCTGTCTCTGGATATGAAACGGGCCGGTCTGTTGTGAAATCGTTCCGGACTGGCGCTGGGCTCGTTGAGCGGTCTTGTTGAAACTATCCTCTTCGAGTCCGCGTAACCGCCCTGAGAACATTGCGAGGAGAATTTTGCCTGTCGGATATTGGAGCTGACAGATTGTGGGGGTTTTTTTACCTTAACTGTCACGACTATTGATTGGTGATTTCAGACTGCTGCTGTTTCATGGGGCTTCAAGGATCCTGATGTAAGAGTCTGAATCCGACAGGATGGTGCCGACAACTGCTTCGTAATTCCGAGAAAGACACTACCCTACAGTATGGCTCTACCTCCCTAGGCCAGTTCAGGTAGGCAGGTGGTATTACACAGGTAGGCAGTAGGTGACAGGATGGATCAGGTAATCTGTAGGAAATACTAGGCCTCGTATGTGATGCTACCCAGCCAGCCACTTTATCATCTCGGGACCACGAACGTCTCTACCTCGCCCCAACGTACGATTGTGTTGATCATAGGAGTATGCGGATAGCATCCATGTGTGTAAAGTCCTAAAGCATCTCAATATGGTTCTTCCAGGCGTCCGTCTCCTTTTTGCGTCATGATTTGCACGCGTTCTCCAGAGCGACTACCCCTTAACTAGCAAAGAACGATAACTTACGGCTTCCCGGATTAATCACAAGAAAGCTATTATCTACGATAACGATGGCCACCCTCTCGTCGACGAAATATGTGAAAGCTACATACGCACATACGCAGCACGCTGCGGAACTGAGGACAAACGCACCGATGAGCTAATTTTGTTTAACAACTTCCTCCCCCTTTGCAACAGGAGATGAGGACACTTCTGCATAGTAACCGGAGTCGAGACGGTAAAGACTATCGTAAACGAAAATTGGACGGTTGGCATTCCCCTCGAGATGAGCTTCCTTTGTTCAGGGAAGGTGGACGAGACTGAATTCACGCGACAGAGCATAATCGGACACGAGACCACGCATCGACGCATCCGAAAGTCAAAGAAAACGGCCTTGGCTCCCAGTAACATCGTATTATAGCGTCGGAATCACCCTTCTTTAAGTTTGAGATGGTCGCTACCTGATCGATCTGTCATGGCGACGCCACTCCCGAGTTTCTTGACCATCACACCCCTCACGAAGTCCGAACAGCGCGAGAAAAGTGAATAGGCGACGAAACCGAGATTTACTAACGAGATCGACACAAGCGACATCAACAAAGTACAGGTTTTCCTTCCTGGATAGACCTCACGGGACGGGAAATACGGTTTACCCCTGAAATCCGAGAGAGAAGGAACTTTCCCCCAGGGTGCTCAATATATTGAGATTCAGGAGCAGAGAAAAGCCTACTAAGGCCGAACGGTTAGTCGTTCAGTGTCGAAAACGAGTGTGCTTGATATCTGTCCTTTGATATTAGAGTAGGGCAGGGGACTCAATTTCGATGTCCGAAATTTCTGTCAACCACAAGCCAAATCAGTCCCTAGCCCAGTTCATGGCCAACAATGGCCAGCTAGGTAAGCCACACAACTACCAACTGCTCTTGGAGACGGTAAACTATCTTTCATCGTAGTCGTAGAAATCACACACTAAAGAGCCAGCCCATAAGTCACCGGCCCCCCTTGCCTGGATTAAGTATTTCAATGGCTCTCTGTATGGATCAAATATTACCCAAATGTAGGCCTTTCATGTCAAGTGCTAAAGTGTGGCAGTTGGGTTTCCCAACTTGTGCTGCTTTGTTGTTTGGTTCAAACTCGTGGAATGGCCTACCAACATGGGTATCTTCTAGTGCTAAAGTTTGTAGTAAAAGAACGGAGGTTTCTGTCTCGTCATGTGCTACATTTTGAGAGCTGAATTCATCGTCACCAGGATATTACACCATAAAGTTTAGGCGTTGAGATTGATGATACCTCTACAGTGATGCGAGAAAGAGCTCACGCCTGGATAATCGGCTTAAGGCGACGAGGACGACATACTGTGAAGAAGAACAGCACCAAATGGGCATTCTGTGGTTTCAGTTACGAAATTCTACGCCATAGTCACCATCATATTAAGAGTGGTTGGATTTTAGTGTAACCTTTTGATATTTTTGGCCACTACGCCGAATAAATCAATAGGTATGTTAATTATAATTCAAGCCATTCCTAACCAAAACGCCTGCCGCGCCTGTAAGTAATCGTCGAACCCATACCATGATACCACAAGCTTTAACATGCACAAATCTAACGTGGAGACAGCGTATAGACCGTAAACAGCGAAGAAATTCAAACAACCGCAAGCACGTGTAGTCTTGCCCCGATAACTTTTGGTATCATGCTTAAGCGGCGGTCTTGTTGGTGCGGTTGAAGATACCGGCGACCAAGCAATGGTCACGCTCGAAAGGTTCTGAGAAAGAGATGACGTTAGCAATTGTACAAGATTGAATGCCGAGGTATAGGTTAGTGTCAATAACTTACCCAGAGTGAGCTGGTACTTGGGCTTGATGCCATCAGCACGCATCTTCTGGACTTCGCTGGCGAAGACCTCAGCGGCAGGGGCGGTACTGTCGATACAGTTGGCCTTGATGGAGATAAGGACACCACCACCGGCCTTCAAGAACCAATTGGCGTTCAAAGCGACGATACGGGCCTGGTCGGGCTGGGCAACATCGGCAAAGATAACGTCAACCATGGGAACGACCATGCGGTAGCGGGCGGGCTGACGGGCATCCTCGACAATGGGGACGACGTTGGTGCGCTTGGAGGCCATGGTGACGAGATCACGGCCGGAGCGGGAAGAGAACTCAACGGCGTAGACGTATCCAGTAGGGCCGACAAGGTCAGCAACGTGGGAGACGGAGGTACCAGAGGCACCACCGAGGTAGAGAACACGAGAACCAGGCTTCATGTAGATGTCGTCGGCACCACCGGCGATGGCGGCGCAAAGCTTGCTTCGGAAAGGGTTCCAGGTACGGTACTCAATCTTGGTGGTAGTGGTAGTACCATCCTCGTTCTTCTGGACATCATCGACGGAGACACGCTTCTCGCCGTAGACGGACTCGCCAGGGGTGATGTTGCGGGTAGCAAGACCATCTTCCTTGCCGCCACGAATGACAAAGACACCAGGGTGACGGTGAGGCTCCTGTTGAGTAGTAAAGTTAGCGGTCAAAGACTTGAGACAAATGGATTGACGGCACGACAACATACAATAACGACCCTGGCACCGCCCTTCTGGCCAGGCTTGCTGATGCCACCGCGACCGCCGCCACGGCCGCCGAAGCCTCCGCGTCCACCGCCGCGAGCACCACCGCGAGGGCCACCGCGAGGAGCACCTAGTCATTGAAAGTCAGCCTTTGACACCCTCAAAACTTTGAGGCGACGAGAAGAGAAGCGTACCTCGACCGCCACCACGACCACCTCCACGGCCGCCGAAGCCTCCACGGTCACCAAATCCTCCGCGACCGCCTCGGCCACCACCGCGAGCGCCGCCGCCGCCACGAGGAGCACCTCGTCCGAAAGGTGCCATCTCTTCTGATTAGAGCTTGGGGTTGTGTAGAGATTCGGAGGAATTGAACGCAAGGTTCAATCAATAGAGCAGAAATTGAGGTGGAAGCAGATGAAAGACAGCTTCGCGAAAGCAGAGAACGGGTTTTGTTCCGTTTCTAGTTGTTGCTTCTAACTTTCAAACTCAGTTGTTGAGACTGCTTAGTCTTGATGTCGAAGAAAATTCTTGAAGCTTTTTTTTTTCCTAGTAAGTTCTGGCGGCTGGGCCCCACATGTCGCATGGGCTAGTCCAACTTTTTTCTGGCCCGGAGTTTGGCCGTTATCAGGATCAGAGGTGCTTCCGATAAGCTGGGCCGGCATGTCACGTGATAAGACCACAACATTGGATTATCTATTCTGTGCAATTTTGAAGGTCTCTTCAATCTAAGAAGGAAGGGAGAATTCATTTGAGCAAACTTATTTTAAGTTGCCCTGTCATCGTAATATTTTCCCACCGTCCATACACCGTCTTTGCTGCAGAATACCATACCACACCTCTGGCATTAGCTTGTGGTTGCTGACTACGCATTCTTCCACAGGGCAGTCAAACCCTAGAAATTCCCAAAGTGGGTAAGCGACTCTTGTTGGTGTCAAGCAGTTGCTTTAGGGCAAAAGTTCAGAAATTCTCAACTACAGCCAGCCCCGAACCCACGTCGTCGAATCGAATCCCCGTCACCACAACACCAAGCCGTCGAGATGGTGAGTGCTGCCCTGCGTCCCATTGAGAAGAATCGATTGTTTGGGGGATTGTTGAGCTGGAGTATCGCAGCCGAGATGGAGCAATCTGCAGCCGCAGTTTCGCCCTTCTCGTTCCTCTGATAATATTCACCTCTCTCCCCCTCACAATTCGACACAATGCGGACTGGTTTTCGATGAAAGAATGATGAGTCTAACATTGGAAATTTTTCCAGGTGCGATACGCTGCGACTGAGATCGAACCCGCCAAGTCGGCCCGCGCCCGCGGTGCCTACCTCCGTGTTTCTTTCAAGAACACCCGCGAGACCGCCCAGGCCATCAACGGCTGGAAGCTGCAGCGTGCTGTTACCTTCCTTGAGAACGTCAAGGAGCACAAGGAGGCCGTCCCCATGCGCCGATATGCCGGCAGCACTGGCCGCACTGCTCAAGGTACGCTCAGCTCGAGAAATCCCACGCAGCCCTCGAAAGTGTGAAGAGAATTGGTGATGGAGGGACTTCACACGGGCTGTGGAGAGAGTCATTTTTCCCCATTTTGTGTGAGAGGGACACCTTTGCTGATTGGGTCTGCCACGTACAGGAAAGCAGTTCGGTGTCTCCAAGGCCCGCTGGCCCATCAAGTCCGCCGAGTTCCTCCTCGGTCTCCTCAAGAACGCTGAGGCCAACGCTGATGCCAAGGGCCTCGACACCGGTGCCCTCATCGTAAAGCACATCCAGGTCAACCAGGCCCCCAAGCAGCGCCGCCGAACGTACCGTGCCCATGGTCGTGTATGTTTGAACCCCCTCCAGACCAATTGGTCGAGTTTCTGAATCTAACGCAAGACCTCCTAGATCAACCCATACATGTCAAACCCCTGCCACATCGAGCTCATCCTCACCGAGGCTGAGGAGGTTGTCCAGAAGTCCGAGGAGGTTGTTGGCCGTGAGGACCTCCGCCTGAACTCGAGACAGCGCGGTGCCCGCGTCCGCCAGGCCATCACCGCCGCATAAAGGTATTCCCTGACCAAGGGGGCTTAGAGTGCGGTTGTGGAGTGACTTTTGTACCGACGGCGAGCGGCGCAAGAGAGAGGGGGCTAGCAGAATGGGCTTTTCGAGTTGTTGGGTTTTCGGAGGGTCCCGGTTCGTGGCTTTTCATCTCATGGTGTATGGCAAGGCTGCGAGGAGCATGGCATCTTACAGGGAAAAACGCATGCAACGTCTTTCGCAAGGCTTTTTCTTGACGAAATATACAAAATTTCGAATGAATTAAAAAATGGACCCTACAAAACTTGCACCCTTCTTCCTCTCTCCGCCCGGTTCTCACCCTACATGATAGAACGGCAGGTGATGCCTTCTACAGATGTGTAGATATTGATAAATCAAAGTTTGACTTGGGTTGCTAGAGATGCCCCTTGTACCTCCACGAATTAACGTGTGGGATCAACTAAACTCTTGCCACTGAGTATTTTCACGTGAGATTTTGGTACGGTGTCTCTGCTGAACACAACCCGATAGGAGGCATCCGACCACGATCGGGTCATAATCATAAACTCATAATTGTTTGGCATTTGGGGCAAAAATCAGGTTTCGTAAGCACAGTACACAAAGTGTACATGACCTAGGTTACAAACTTTTCCTCCTTTCCGTAATCTTGTATCGTTGCAGCTCATTCCTGAATATCGTCTGGACATAAACTCTCATCATAAGAATAAGAAGCACCACACACAGCCTGCTTCTGTTCACCCTTGGGGGCATGGCGGAAAAGGAACTACATAACGCGGACACCAGGGTACCGGAAGTAAATGAATAGATAAGAAGAAGAAAAAGACCAAACTCCAATAACCGTATATCCCTTCCTCTCCCTTCACCTCTATTGAGGGCTAGAAGAATATTTTCCGCCTGTGTTGTGCCACTGAACACCAAGTAGAAGTTAAGTATCGTCTTCGTCTGCTTGGTTGACTATGCCATCAAGAACAAAAGATGAAAATTAAAAACATTAGTCGAAAGAAATAACGAAAGCCCAAGTGGGTTTGAAGAAACGAAGGGAAGGAGTACGAAACTCTCAAGTGAAAATGTATATCACTTCAATCTCCATCCATATGTGTTTGTGGAGTGTGCCACGCCAAGGTAGACTCAAGCTCGTCCCCAGAGCCCTCGAGGCTGTTATCCAACGTGCTGGCAGGGGGGAGGCTGACTGTTATATTGTTACGTTCGGGTGGTATGAATTCATTCCATGGGCGAGGCACAGGGGATGTGTCAACCATTCCGGAAAAGCGCCCAGAGCCAGGAAAGTCCACGCCATCAGCCGTGGCATCATGAATCGTTTTTTGGCTATAGGCACGATCCCAACCCATGGCCATACCGAAACCGTGGGTGAGGTTGAAGGTTTCCTGTGGCCCAATGTAGGGCAATATTTGGCCAAGCTCCCTATCTTTGCAACGCTGCATGATACGCTGAGGTGTGCTCGGATTGTGGCTTGGAGGGACGACGCCATGAGCTCCAGGAGGCAAGAGAGCACGAGTATTGAGGCTAGAGGCGTCGACGCAGACATAGCCACAAGACTTGAAAGATAGGCATTTGATTTTGTATCGCCTTTCCTCCGCGAAAAGACGATTGCATTTAGGAATAACATCTGAGGCCAGTTCGAGAAGATGTGGCCATCGGCTGTCTTCCCAATCAACGCCATCTTCGATAACACGGCGAATGGAGTCGCCAGGAGTAAAATGCTCGATAAATCCTGCCCACGTCAACAGTTCTGGAAAGACCAGTGTCTCAGGACGCGTGGGTAGATCTGGTCCGACTGCTCCATGCATATTGAGGGCAGGCTGTCCGTTGTTGAAGAGAGGTTGTCCGTTGTTGAAGACAGGGTGTGCGTGGAAGAGAGGTTGTCCGGGGAAGGGAGGTTGTCCGACGATGCCAATTTGTGGGTTGAAGATATGATTTGGGTTGAAGGCAGGAGCTGGTGGAATTGGAGCTGGTGGACCAGCGAGTATATGGGCATGTTGGGCGAAGCCGACAAAGCCGTTGTGCATCATCATCATCTGATTGAAATGTCCACCAGCTTGGCCGTTGTGCAAACCCAAAGGAAATTGAGGATTCCTGGTAGGCTGGCCCGAAAGGGAGACCGACTCCAGCTCTAGCTTTTCCAAAGACGCAAGTCCCATCTGTCGAACAGTCTCGATCAGAACGTGCGGAGATGCCCAGCAGTTCTTGAGAGAGAGATGTTTAAGATAAGGCAAACTCAAGAGTTTCTCATCTTGAAAAATGTCCAAATTGACTGAAGCCATATCCTTTGGGTCGTTGAAGAATGGTGCCGGAAGAATATATTGATTGCGTTGGTACGAGCTTGGAGCGAATTCACCACCGCATATCCACTCGAAATGCAAGCTTTCGATTCTAGACTGCTTGCCGATGTAGTCGTGGAGAAGCTTGAAAACCAAACCGACAGCGGTCACTGGCGATACTTCGTTGTCCTCGATGCACCCCGGAGTGGGCTTTGTAATTTTTCTCCAGTCTGCAATGACACCCAACGACACATTGGAAAGATTGGGAAGGCTCTCCCAGAAGGATTCCCGATAGAATATATGAACATGACAACTGGGTATTTTGGCAATGGACAACGTGGTGAGTTGCGAGTAGCAACCGATGGCTGCATTGTCGACCATGGCAATCACGTAGGATTGAATCATGGCTCGGTGAGCCCACTCCAACTCGAGAAGAAGCTCCTTCTGAGCCCGGGTGAGGAACGCAGGGACAAGAGGGAACCTGCGAGAGTCGGGCCGGTCGAACGTCTCTGTGGTTCCGTCTATTGCTAAAAGGGCCAGCACCTGTTGCTCGTGGACATCAGAGCTGCTAAGAGCAGGTAGATTCAAGGCGGCTCTTTCATCAAAATCGATGGAAGGCAAGCTGGTGTTTTCTGTCTCAAGGAGCAGACCGATAGCCTCATTGATCGCTGCGCCTTCATAGCCTGCATCAACGACCATCTTCTCAAGAACTTGTCGCTGAAGGGAGAAATGGTCAGACGTAGAACCTTGTGACTTCTGGGGTCCAGGTCCATTCAAGTTGGCAATTGTGACACATTGATCGTCATCTTCTTCTTCCACCTGGTCGGGACGATACTCTCGGCGCCAATTCCTCGTAGCAAAGACAGGTCGACGGGCTGATGCGCGGCGCACACAGGCATCTGGCCTTGTGAGAAAACCAAGACCAGGATCACAAGACAGGCCCATGTTGGTAACTTTGGTCAAGCATTTCAGGGCATCCTTCATTTTCTGCGTTTCATCTGCCGTCTGTTCAATTCCCTGGAGGTCAGAGTACCTGGTGTAACTCTGAGGTGGCCATCGATATATTCCCCAGAATGAGGTCACAGCCTCTTGGGCTGGCTTAATCGGAGGGTTTGCAAGGTCATCCTCGTCCAACTCAAGAGAGAGGGCGAAGCGTAGGATATGAGGGCCAAAGGACTCGAATATACGTGAGCCAGTGGAGAAGAGGGCCGAGGATGGGTGCAGTCGGGGCTCGGACGACTCTCTATCAAAATCGCCGTATAACTCGGGTCGAAATGGGACGACAACGTTCTTGAAGTACCTAGCAGACACCTTGATTTCGAACTCCTTATTCACCCTGCGAAGAGATCTAATCTCAGCTCGGGAAAGAAACGAAGTAATGAGCTCGAAGATCTCAACGGGGATCCTTGCGGTAGGCCATGGTATTTCCCAAGTCGCAGGATCGGACAGGTCGTTCGGAGCATCAGTTGGGTCTTCAGCCGCAGCGCCTTCTGGGGGGGCAGGGCATTCATGAGAAGTTAGGTCGATCTCCATCTCATAATTGGCCTCTGAGCTCGCGGGGCTCGAGAAATCGTCTTGGGCGATGGGATAATCGAAGTGGGCAGGGTGTACAAAGAAGAGATCCATGATGGAAATCTTGTGCCATTGAAAATCGAGGCGTTTGTCAGCGATGGCACATTGATCAAATAACCAGCGACATATCGTGCTGCCAGTTTGTTGGTGTAGAAGGGAAACCATGGCAGGCGGACTGCCTGGCGGAGGCCCAGCTAAAGGTGCTGACCGAGCCTCAAGTGCAATGTCCTAAGGTATCAGAAAGAGTGGGGTAATCAAGCGAGGGCGGGGCAATTCGAAGCCTAATTCGTCCGCTGTGACACAGGGTGAATAGGTGGCGTAGAGTGCCGCCGAGGTCACAGCGGTCCCTTTAGGTACACTGGGGGGGCACAACGCATGCGGAGGCGCTGGGGAAGGTACCTGCTAGTACCTGAGCGAGGTACCTGGAGCGACTGCCTGAGACAGTGCCAATATACGCGCCTTCCTTGTAGCCCTGTGTGTGGCCGTCTGGCATTAGCAAGATTGGGTACCTATTGCCAGCTCGACACGGGTGAGAACGCAAGCTGCGGCCGGAGGCAACGGGTCGCCAATGGGAGTTTTTCTCTCATCCGAATGTTGCACGTAATCGTTGTTATGCTGAATATCTTGGTTGGGTGGTGTCACTAGCTCGGCGGGCAACCGGATCGATTTGGCACACGATCAGCAGTGGCGGATGATGGCCAAGATTTCCCAGGGCGATGTGATTGGCATCGATTGAGGAAACATGGGATGTCCTCTGGATTATACAAGTCCGCTGAGCGCATGTCTACGACACTCCTCGGCAGACGAGGACCCGTCCTTTTATTAAAGAATCTAAGCTGTCTAGCCATCGGCGACAACCCCCAGCTTTGCGCCGCGAATCTCCCCCACATGCGCCATGGATGATGGGTGATGGGCAGGAGGACATGAACCCTGAGCGTCAGCACCAGTTCCAAGGACCCAGTTTGCAATACCTTCTGACCTCTGTAGCCCTTGCAGCTCGCCCTGCTTGCAAGGAACAGCTTCAGCTTCAGCTTCTGATTACCCGAACACAGATCCTTCCTCATTGTCATTCTAGAAAGGATCTGCTCTCTGGAAAGCAATCTGCTGCTGAGTATGTCTCGCCTTTTGCCCAGGTCCGTTAACGGCTGTGGGAAGGGCGGGCATTGAGATCGGTATGAATTCCTTGAGAGAACTGGCCAACTATCCAACCCGGAGATGGACAAGCAAGCACACAACCCCTTTTATTTTTCCACAGGGAGGAGCCAACATCTGGAACCTGTTCCATTTCGTGGTGTTTTGTTGTCACAATCAGACGGCCTACAATGGTACCAGGTGTGTACTTTGCATGGATCCTGTTAATACGGAAGTAACAGTGTCATGCATGACCCGAACCAACCCCACCAAGACGGAAGGATGCGCAGCCAGCCTCACTCGAGACCAGCTGGAGCAGCTCAGCATTGTTCTCTCTCCGGCTCCAAACCGAGCTCACTAGTAATAGGCCGTGTGTACAATGACGGTATATCGGGCCTAATGACGGGGCAGGGCGGAACTTATGGCGATGACAAAGGGACCTCGAAAGGTGTTCACTTGCCGGGGATCATATGTCTATGAGCTGACGGGGCATGTTGCCTTGCTTATGCCCCAAGAGACCCCACAGCGGGATGATGGAAGAAGCATTGGTCCGCACATCAACCAGTTCTGACACGCCCACCCATGAGTAGAACGGCAAGCCGCTGCTGTATGTCAAGTGAGGGAATTTTGCCTGGTCTCGTCTTTGGCATTGCAATCAATGAGGCCGTCCACATCCCTAGACATGACACGGGATCTCTGAGTATGTATGGTTGGAGACATGTGAGCCAAATACCTGTGCGATGGCGAAACTCACACCGGAATGCTGAGGGAGATCTCCATACCACATTCCCACAACTCGTCGGCAATCCAACAGCTCATCCCCGATCCAGCTCATGGAATACATGCAAGGCCTCTTTATACATATCTCACAGCTGAACTATGTCAGCATGGTGTCTGTAACCGCGCCTCTTGGGTGCGGATCGAATGCCTGTCCAGGACCTTGCCTATGTCGCTGCCACCAACAATGCCCTGTTCCAAGGCCATCTTTCACCGTTTCATCACTACCATCATGAAAGTTCATCACGAATAACTGAAGAACGGTGCCGGTGATGCCATTGAGTGACTGATCGTAGCTGCAACCACAACTCAAGAGTCCCTGTCAATAAATTCCGAAGCATCAAGGAGCAAGTATGCAGCCTATTTGTTTTCCACGACGTAACTAAATGACGAGGTACTGCCGCCTATAGGTACGAGGAGGTAGCTCTCAGCGGTCAACCAGGCACCTAATCTACAAGCATTGGGAGCTTTTCATCCATTACAGGGAGTGGCATGGGCCTACACAGGCCTGCTAGGGCCATCCATCCAGGGCCTAACCCACTAAATAACCTTAGCTTCGTCCAAAAGCCCCTGCCAGACTCTCGTCCCGCCCCGTCGGTAGCTTTGATCCTACTCTTGGCAAGGACGTAAATATCGCTGACGTGCTCAGACCCCTTGACCGCTATGAATGAAGCGAGCAAGCTTACTCTATTCTGAGGAGTGTGCCCCGTTTACTAGCAGCGTTGGTGGCTCAGAGGGGGCGGGTGTTTGGTCACGGTCTCTTCAAGGCCCTCATCGAGAATAGCTAGGTAGGTAGTCATGACAACGGCAGCAAGAGTCGTCTGGATGCAAACTCGGGATGCTAAACCAGGTATCGGAAGGTTTAGAGTCCAGCTTTACCAATCTCTTTCTCTGGCATCTTCTAACAACGCTTCTCTTGGGACCCGGTTTTTTTTCCTGTGGTTATGACCACGTAACTTATCTAAAGGCGGTCAACACAGCTAGTTGGCTCTATTTGCTACACCTGTCTCTCGAGTCCGCGGTCAGTCCTTTGCCGGTCCACTGCCTAGTTATCTATGACGAGGAGACTTGGAATTAGTGGATGATACATACTCCTATGCCAGATTTCAGCACCACGGAAGTGGCATTATTCCATGCAATGGATTTGGTTGTGGTTGTAGAATTTGCCATTCCCTTCCGTGCTAACAGCTATGGGAACCAGTCGGGTGGCTCCCAAGATGGCCTTAGGACGTGATTGCGAGCTTCCTGAGTGGTCTGAACCTCTGCCAAGCTTCCCGTAAAACTCTGGGGGGATTTGGGGCTAGTCTTAGCGTCCCGAAGGTTTGGATCGAGGGTGTGCTCCCCGGCCAGTTCGACCCAAGCGCCAATGTCAGCTTGTGATGTGTGGATCTGATCTCCCCAAGCCCAGCCAGGGGACTTCGGCAGATGCCTCTTCGTGAACGGGTGCTGACAAGTTTAGGCTCTGTGTGTAGCTCCGTGATGGCCCCGAAGACGTATAATGAGCAACACGACTGAAAGACAACCTCCACTGTTGCAATCGCAGAATGAAAATACCAGATGTCTGATGTCATCCAGCCCATTGATATTTCGCTGAGCCAACTGGTCCCCAGGGATCCATGTATTATTTACAAGCTAACCCTGATCCTAACAATAAGAGTAAACAACTAGGTATGAATCTAATGCGCCTGACGAATAAGAAAATACTGCTTTATACTGCACAACAAGGTGCCTTCGTGCTTTCATACATACCGGTATTTCCACCCCTATCCCTTGTGCTCTTGGAATCCATCCGGCTTCCATTCTCCGTGACCTGCGGGCGCATTCTGTGAATTGCCCTTCGATCCCGCCCCAGCAGCAACAACCGTCGTGCCTAGCTGACTAGCGTGTTTCTCAAAGTCAGATGTGCCCAGCCAGTAGAGGCACAGGAAGATGAGAAGGTGGAGGGCCAGGCAGTATGCTGCGAAGAGGTTTCTGCTTGTCCGGGAGGCGAGAACCATTCTTGTAATGCTGTAGACTATCCTCTCCGGAAGACTCATGCGTTGATAGGCTCTCGCCGACTCGCGGCCGCGGAATGCAGCGAAGGGCGAGATATTTGACTCGTAAGCTTTGCGGTATCGGTCCAACTCGATGCCCGGGTTCCCTGTCCCCCCAATTGCTACCGTGGAGGGGTTCGGGTTTGAGCTGAAGGCTGACGTTGCCGTGGAAGCGCCTCCCCGGTTGTATGTCGACACGTACCGCGTCTTCTCATACAGGTTGAGGTTGTCCTTCTGCAGTGCCGCTACCTCCTGTCGAAGCTGTGACACATTCCGGTGGGTGTCGGAAAGCTCCTGCTCGAGCTCGGCATTCTTCTTTTTGAAGCGGTCACGCTGTGCGGCGACCATGGGGAGAATGCCAGAGCCACCACCCATGGGCTCACGCTCAGACATACCCGACCTAGGATCCAACCCACTGATAATGGAGGATGTCGGGGATACTCGACCACCACGTCGAGTGGGTGGTGGGCCTCTTGTGACATAGGTTCCCGCAACAGAGGCGCCAGAGGGGAAGGCGTTGACCCCTTCTGACTGAAGAGTCTCTAGGTCGTTTTCCAGCTTCTGGTTGAGATTCTGAGACTTCTCCAACTCCGCATTGGTCCTCGAGAGTTCCTCCTGGATCTCTTCCAGTCGTGCCTGGAGGCCTTGACTCGAGACCCGTAGGATAGTCAGCTCGTCACTAAGCTTTTTATTCCTGCCCAAGAGAAGCCTCTCAAGCGACTCATTATTGGAAGCATCACCATCCTGGACCTGTTCGCGCACGTCATCGTCGTCTCCAGTCGCAAACTCGATGCTCTTGAGGATTTCAAGCTCTTGTTTCAGCTCGTCATAATCCGTCCATTTTTCAACCTTGGCCTTCAAACTTTCTTTTTCCTCTTTCAATAAGGTAACCTCCCTTGCGATGGACCGTACCTTGGCATCAAGATCTCGCTTCAATGCCTCTTTCTCAACCCTCGCTGCATCAAGTTTTCTGATAAATGATGAATTCTCGGCCCTCATTCGCATGTAGCTCGGGTCTTCCTCCAGAGATGTCTCATTCTGAGTCGAGACGGATGATTTCGCTTGGGCCAACTCAATTCTCATTTGCTCATTTCGTGCCTCGACTTCAGCCAAGCGCGTACTCGTTCGCTCGAGGTCGGAGTGGAGCATTTCCACTTCAGCGCTTGAGACATGATTGAACTGTGCGTCTTGGTCGCCTCCGGTCTTCCCCAGTCGCTGGTTGACCTCGTAGCTGGCTCGGATCTCGCTCAGCAGTCGTTCTTGGCTTTCCACCTTCTCCTCCAGGCTCTTCTCCTTTGCTTCCCAGTTATCCTTCTTCTCGTCCATAACAGCAGCCCATGATGATTCGACTTCCTTGACTCGATCTTCGAGCTTCTCCTCCAGCTCGTTGCGCGCCGTCCTCTCGCTCTGTAACTTGATCTCTGTCTCTTCCAATTGCGAAGTGACCTTGGACAGATTGGCCTGGAGATGCTGGTTCTCCTCCTGGAGTTTTGGTAGGGTATCCTCAGATAAGAGCATAGAGTCGACAGACGCTTCGAGAAGTGGGTACGGATCGGGGGCTTCAGACAAAGATGTGTAGGTCTGTAGGAACGACGAGTTGACCGACTTGGAGTGGTTTGTCAAGGCATCGATGAAGGCTTGGTAGGCTGGAGGACATGCGACGTCAGCCAATCTTTGTACATACAGTATTCCAGAGTAATAGCATACCTTTGAGCAGCCCTTTGATCTCCGTCAGCTTTGATGCATCGTCGAGCCTCCTGAAGTCCTTGGTCTTTTGCGCCAAGTCTTTTCGCTGAACGGTGGTGTCTCGTTGATAGGCAACGATCTCGGAGGCTGTCGAATCAAGCTTGTTTGTGAGGCTCGTGAGATCGAGGTCTAGATTATAGGTCCAGCAATCAGTTGGATGCCCTCGAATACGGGGGGGGTGGGGGAAGCCATACTCCTCCAAACAGATATAGCATGCTGGAACTTGTTCTCTCCTTCGAAGGTCGGGCCTACCGGTGACTCTGCCACCGCCTCCTGGGCCTTCAATGCCTCTTCCACGGCGGCGTCGGCCATTTTGAAGCCGGTAGTGGATTCTGTTCAAGGTTTCGCAATGTCGAACCGGGCGCGCCCTGATGATGGGTATGGTCTGCCAGTATGAGATGAGCGGGTTCGCTGCGCACGCTTTAATCCAGCTCAAATTAGTAAAATCGATTGGCTCTTTGTGTCCATGGGAAAGAACGTAGATGATAAAGTGGAATTGGCCAGGTCTTGGGTGCTGCTATTCTCCCTGAACATGCGCTCTCGGTAGCTTTCCCCTGTATGCTACGTAGCGCTGAAACAGGCCAGCTCGGCCAACTCGTGGCAGAGCGCGTGGTGTTAAAGAGCTGCGCCCCACCACTCCGTCATACCACCTGTGATTATGTGGCTGGTATTAGATTGCGCCGCACCTGGCCAAGCTTTATCTACCACTTGACGGTTAAGCAACCCGCGACCTCAAAGCTCCCGATCAACAATTCGACGGTTACCCCGGCCGGACCTCTCATTCTTGCTCCCGCGACCGCAATGACATAGCATCGATGAAGCTGCCGAGTGATTTACCGCTATGACATCGACAGGCCCAGGTGATGGGCAAGGGTCTAACGGGAGACCAGAGGAAGGGCCCTTTATCCTAAGACCGTTACTAGACAATGTGCCGCTGGTTACGGATGAGACGGAGGGCGAGGTGAAGATAAACTGTGTTGAATACTATGGTATGCCGCATCGCATGCAACCTCTGCATGAACCCAAGCTCATTGATTCGCCTAAACAGATCGCAACCTATATGTCGGCACCAGCGCGTCCGAGCTACTCCATTTCGTGCAGATACCCCCCGATCCAAAAGATCCCGGCAGCCCGCCAGTGTATATTCTAGCATCTAGGTTATTCCCCAACTATGTGGAAGTCGCCGGGCCGCTACCCGGCGTGCAGCAGATCCTGCTACTCCCTCACGCGGGAAAGGCGTGCATTCGCTGTAATTGGACCGTGACCCTATACTCCTTACCGGAGTTGAGTCCAGCCTTCGATTCAAGCAAAGTCAGGGGCTGCAATTGGATTGGAGGTGTCGACTTGAATAAATCTTTGGTCAGCGACGACAATGGCCAAGGTCCAGCACCTGTCAATGTCCTTCTCGCATCGAACCGGCGGATTCAGGCTCTTGAAATCGGCAGCTCGAAACCTAGGATCATCCAGGTGATTACCAGCAGTGAATGTCTCTTATGGGTTGTCTTGGCTAACTTCGTCACGTCAGAGGATCGATTTACCCGGCATCAGTCTAGCCGTTCGTAGAGATTCTATAGCATGCGTCGCCGACTCGAAATCATATTCACTCCTTGATGTTGAAAGACAACTCAGGATTCCGCTAATGAGCATATCATCTTTGGATGAATCTACTCCACCTGAAGATGTCGGGCATGCACAGAGCCTCCATTCTAGTACAGGCGTTGGGGTGGGGAGAAGTTCGTCTCTTATTCAAGGACGATCCCCTGTTGATTTTCATAGTCACACCAGAAGCTCAAGCTTAGGGGGTTCTATATTAGGAAGTATGCGAAGGGGAGATGACGACGGGCGACAGCTACAGTTCCCATCAGAAGTATCATCATTAGATGCATTATCGAGCCCGCAACCCCTAAGAAGCCCGCAACCCACCATCGATGGCATTGCGACACCACCTTCCATCGACAAGCCCTTGCCTCAAGCCCCAGGAGAGTCTGGCGCTGCTGCACAGCCTTCCCAAGCCCGGGAAGAGTCGAGACAAGTGTTCTTACAACCTCACATAGCATCGCCCGGACCCGAGGAGTTTTTGGTTATCCGAGGCACAAGCCCGGTTGAACCCTGTATTGGCATGTTCGTGAATCTGGACGGTGATCCCACGAGGGCGCCTGTCAACTTCGAGAGATATCCTAAGGAGCTGGTGATCGACACCGGTTTCCATGATTTGGCCGATGCCCAACCAACCATGACAGAGGGCGACGATGGCTTTGTTCTCGTGTCATTGACCAAAGAATTCAAAGATGGCTTGCGGCATGGCATCGAAATCCAGTCATTGAACTCTGACAACGACGGAGAGGCTCAAAGATATTGGCTAGAAGCTGATGGAGTCGATAAGGAAACAGAATATGGCATCAGACCGCTAACTGGGAGAGAGGAGTTCAAATACGAAGAGATCGTGGAGAAGCTCTGCCAAAAGAAATTCCGTCCATTTTCTACCAGTACAGAAACGCCCACAGTTTCACTCCGGCGCTCAGACTCGAGAACAGCATTGTCCATTGAGCAACTATCAAAGGAAAAGGAGCTATTCGACCAAAACTTTGACTCTCAAGAGGAGGACGCTCTCCCTGACGGCTGGGAAGCATCACGAAGTACGGAGTCGAAAGAATTTGCCAGACGCCTTGCCAAGGCATATGCTGGCCTTGTCGTCTGGGCTGGAGATCGGCTATGGTGGGCAGTAAGAAACCCGCTGATCTTGAAACTAGATTCCACACTCGAGGCTGCCATATCCAAGGACCACCAAGTCGATAGGCGTGCTGTGGTTTCCGTCCTGGGCTCTGTACGTCAGCGAGATGCTCAATCCGAGCTGGAGTTCCTCACATTTGGCTACCTGCGGCAAAAGATTGGACTTCTTCTTCTTTCAGGACTCTTGAAATCCGCCTCTGGCCAAGGCTTCTCCGAGACTGAAGTGAAGGCGGTTGAAGAAGTTTTGGTCGAAAGTAGTCTGGATCCTCGAGTCGTGCTAGCACTCATCCCCGGCGTTCGAAACGAAATCATTGAAGGCCAGCGGGGAATCTGGATATATGGAGGCGTGAAAGGGGTGGCCGACTCCTTCATTCAAGGCAGTGAATTTGAGAAGATCGCAAATGGTCGCATCGAAAGCGTTGGGCCTAGTATCCTTCAATTCCTGCGCAAGTTTCTGACATCTTGGAGAGGGATGAAGGGTCTGCCTAGCGTCTCGGAGGAAAGCGAAGTATTCCGGACGGTAGATGCGGCAATGCTCCTTGTCCTCTTAGAACTGGACAAAAACTCACCAAAGGGCATGGGCAAGAGCGGCTCGGTTCGAGCAGAGCTTAACGAGCTCGTGGATAAGGGTGTGGACTGCTTCGAACGAGCAGTCAGCCTTCTTGAATCTTACCACCGACTCTTCATTCTAAGTCGGCTATACCAAAGTCGCAAAATGGCAGGAGACGTCCTGAACACATGGAAGCGAATTATTGAGGGTGAACGGGACGAAGGGCAGGAGTTCCGCGACGGCGAAATGCGTGTCCGAGAGTACCTCTCCAAAATTCGCAGTCAGTCACTAGTGCAAGAATACGGTGTCTGGCTGGCGAACCGGAACCCAAAGTTGGGTGTCCAGGTGTTTGCTGAGGACAAGGGTCGGGCTCCTAAATTCGAACCTGCCCAAGTTGTTGAGTTACTCAAAGAAGAGGCGCCGGTCGCAGTCAAATACTATCTGGAACATCTTGTATTTGACAAAGGGTACACGGTGTATGTCAACGACCTCATTACTTATTACCTTGATGTGGTGGTGGGTGAGCTACAGTCGTCAACTGAGAGTCGAGATGCCGTGATGGCGACCTACGAGGCTTACAAGGCTCTCCGAGCACCCAAGCCCACCTATCGCCACTTCCTTTCAGACAATGCACCTCAAGACGACGAGGTTTGGCACAGCCGCCTACGGCTCCTTCAGCTTCTGAGTGGCGCACACGACTACGACACGACCTCTATCAAGGAGCGAATTGCCAGCTTGCCCGACGACCTACTGGTCCCCGAGACAATCGTCCTCTCGGGCAGGGAGCGAAACCATGAGGTTGCTCTCCGTCTTCTTGTGCATAAGCTCGGTGATTATGACGCGGCTGTGTCGTATTGTCTCCGTGGGGGAACAAGCATCGACAGCTTCACCACATCAGATGGTCTCAGCCGGAAGGACTCGCTTCCCAGCGTCGATACGCAGCGACGCCTCTTTAACGCGGTCCTACACGAGTTTCTGGCCATTTCAGACATCAGTGACCGTGTTGAACAGACGGGCGCACTGCTGGAGCGATTCGGTGGGTGGTTCGAGGTCGATGACGTGCTCAAGCTGATTCCCGACAGCTGGTCGGTCGACATTGTGGCAGGCTTCCTAGTCGGTGCGCTGCGGCGGCTCGTCAAGCAGAAGCACGAGAGTGTGGTGACAAGGGCGCTGAGCGGCGCCGAAAACCTAAGAATCAGCTACGATCTAGTCGCCAGGGTGGATGAAAAAGGTCCCAGTGTTGAAGCTCCCAACTAAGCAAGCCGAGAATGCATTGGGGGGCTTAGTTAATTGTTGGTCATCGAACAGACGTCACTTGACTCGCTTGGGCATGGCAAGTTTTTCAGCTGAAGCTCTAGGCCATGCACCTGTTGACACGATATACATATCAGTCTGCTCACTGGCAGACAGCACACCGCATAATGATCCTTTTCGATATTTTATATACTTGGGCATCTAGATAGATGAAAACGACCTTTTTTGTATTTCTTTCCACATGACCCAGGACATGGCTCCTGTTCCGTGCTGGGTGTCGGTGACATGTAATCTGCAGCCGATCGGTGAGAAGTGAAGTGAGGCTGAAACCCGCCAGAGCTCAGCTCACAACAGTCCCTCGCATGGCAAAAATGTGGGATTATGCATCCAAGGTCCCACGCGGGCTGATCCTGGCGCCGCCATAGCCTCTGTGCTCGCCAATCAAGACGGGCGAGCCGGCCGCAGCTGAACAAACAAGCGGCCACACGCATACAAGACAAACCCGACTTTTGGTCCCCCCCCCCAAAGGCCCAAGGCCGATGGCGGGCAACACCAAACGAGCAGTGCGGGCGTGCACTTGTCTGCATGGGGGCAGTACTGCGACATCGTGCTCCTCGTATGTGGGGAGGAGAGGTGCTTGCGAGACGACGGCCAACCACCTTTGCCTTCGGATGCCTGCATGCTTGTGTGTGTCTAATATGTATATATCCACGAAACCAACCAACAACCAACCAACCAACCATCCCGCGCCGTCGGTTTACACTGCAGGTAGTTTTCTCCACGCCAGGAACATTCTCTCCGCCTGGTTGATTTTTTCTTCTTCTTTCCTCTTCAATTGTTACCTCTCTCTCTGCGTCCTCTTTAACACTGCAACAACCAGCCACCGCTTTCTCGTCCCCGGATCCTCTTCTTGCTGGTCCTTCACCCATTCCCTCTGCTTCCCATCGCAGTCCTGCTCCCATATCTTCTCAATCTCACACCCGGCCTCCTCCTTCAATGCCTCCTCGTCAAAGAACCCGGCCATCTTCGACCGGCCCGTGTGAAACCCAGCAACGACCCAGCACCTAGCCTCCGTCGTCTGCTTGAGGAGGTGGTCAACGGACCGCTGGAGGTTCCCGTGCTGCCATGGCATCCACAGACAGTCGCAGACCAGCACGCGGTCGAAAGTGTGCCTCTTCCCGGTCACCTCATCCCCCTCGGGAAACGTGCCCCATTCATGGCCCAGCACCCTCACGTCGAGAGACACCCTGCCAAGAGGGGACAGCCCAACCGTCACGTTCCGACCAACATTCGTCCTGAGAGCCTCTATCAGCGGCGGTGCCGGGTAGTCCGTCACGAGGACCTCCTCGGCGCCGAGCAGCCCACCCATGATGCTCGGCAGCGCCGTGCCCGCACCCAGCTCCACGGTCCTCCGCCCCCTCACGTTGAAGAGGCCTACCGAGCCGGCCTCGTCCCCCTCCTCCACGGTGCCGCCCTCCCTGCCCACCAGGTACGAGTCCCGCTCTATCAGCTCGGCGAGCAGCAGCGACGAGTTCCAGAGGTAGTGGCTGAACAGCCGCCTCTCCGTGTCGTCCCCCGGCTGGCACAGCTTCAGCTGCAGCGGCCTCGGCAGGTGCGGCGACGTGTAGACCAGCCACGAGTCCGGGTCGCCGTGCTGGTTCGTCACGTCGTCCGGGAAGACGACGCCCAGCGACTCGGAGAGGATGTCCTCCGGGTCGGTGCCCTCCTCGCCGGCCAGGGCGATGCGGGATGTGAGCGACATTTCCTCCCCCCCACTGGTCTAACCAGAAACCCCCGGGGAAGAAACGTTTTATTTTTCCTAAAACGTATATATTGGCCTTTCTTGAGTGGCTGGGTTTCAAGCCGTTGGACGAAAGCCAAAATCCTAGGCTTGAGTCTAAAAATTCCTCACGTCCCCGCCTTTTTCTTCAACAAGAGAGGGGGGTCCCTTATCGTCAGGGGCTTAGGATTGGAATATACCGGTGCGATACGAAGCTCCGATCGTCTCACGAACCTTTTCTAAGTCTGGACGCCAAGGTAGTATATCGATATTTGGTTGTACGTGGGATCTTGGTGGGAGGAGCAGGCTGGGGCTATGGAACCGAAAATCCGTTTCGGGTCCCATCCTCCGATGAACCGGGGTCATCCTACTGACATCACAGATTCTCCTGCCCAGCGTCAGATAAACTTGGTTTTTTTTATCAATGGGGGGGTACTTGACAATTCTGCTCTTACACATGTCCCGGTCGATTGTAGACGATCGGGCTTCATCCCTTCTCAAGCGGTTCGTCAACCCTCAGGACGGCAGACATCGTCTCACGTTCCACGAACAAGCACCCACACTGGACTTTGAGACATCGAATGGAACGTCACATTTGCAGATCGAACGAGTAGTGGTACAGATCGGTATTATTATTATCACTCAGCTGGTGTCAAAGACCAGCTCAAGGCAAGCAATGCAGACACTAACTAGAAAGCCCGTGAGAAATAGATGGTGGGGGAAGATCACGTCTTCTTCGCCATTTAACCATCGTCGTTATCATCCATCATTATATATAACCCAAAAGGAAAGTCCCAAAGCCCACCAGATATAAAAAAAACCAGAGAGGTAAAAAAGAAAAGAGGACAATATCCACAACCAAGTGGTCCGTTTCGATTTGCTCGCAAATCAGTGGGGGTATCATTTCACCGTCTTCCTTGAACCTCGGAAGACGTCTTTGTTCCTCGTCGTATTCCAACACATACAATCATGAGATAATTCCCCATGTTTCCCAAGTTTCCCAAAATAATTTCCTTTCCCATTGCCGTTAAAATCCCGCTTTGCGCCTTCTGCTATGCTTTTGAATAGTCCTTGCGGGGACGGACGCGTCCCTTCGCAAGCCGACCTTCGAGATTATGATGAGAACCCTCTTCCGTGTACTGGGGGACTTATAACCAAGAAAAAAAACAATAGTGAAAACGATGCACTCGATTAGTTCGAGGCCAGCATCGCTGCCTCGCTCATTTGTCGGAACTGAGCCTCGGTGGGGTCATCTGAGATCCAGATGCCCTTCTCCTCCTCAGTCGCGCCATGGAAACCCTCGGCGCGCTTGAGAGTCTGGATATCCAGATCGGTCGTGTACGCCTTAGGGTCAGAGAGCTTGAGGCGAACCTCGTGCGTGGTGGAGAGAGCCATGTCGTCCTTGGCGAGGCGACGAGCGCCATCGAAGCAAGTCATGACGCGGTGCTTGAGGGTCATGTTCGCAGGATCGTATCCCCAGGAAGGGGGATATCGCTCGCCGCGGTTCTTGCGGTTCTTGGACTTCATGGTCATTGGCACTCCTCCGCGAGAGTGTGTCATGCCACGGGACTTCTGGACACCGTTGGCAGGGTTTCCCTTCTTCTTGGAAACACCATTGGACAACTTGATGCTCGAGGAATCATCGTCGTCGTCATCAGCCATATCCGAATCGTTGCCATCACCACTGTCAGAAGTGACCTGGGTGGTGAGAGGGAGGTTGTTCTTCTCCAGAGTCTCCTGGACATCCTTATCATTCTCCACCTCGGTGAGGCACTGGACATTGATGGCCTCGGAGGGGTCCTCCTGCTGGACGATGCGCAGCACGCAGTCATCCAAATGCTCGTAGAAGTCTTGAGGGTTGGAGAAGGTCTGGGAGCAAGTGCTACACTTGCCAGTGGCGTCGGAGGCATAGCCGGTGAGCTTCTTGGTGGGGATGGTCATGGAGCCCTTCTTGCGGCTGTTGGGAGGAGTCTGCTCCACACCGTGAACGGCTGTCAAGTGCCTCTTGAAGACGTCTGCGCGGTTGAACGACTTCTCGGTGGCCGAGCCAGATCCAGGACAGAAACCGCACACCATGGTGCCTTTGTAATGCGTCAGGGTGTGTCGGTTCTTGTCATATTTGCGTGCGAAGCCCTTGGTGTGGTACTCGCAGGTCTGGATGGGGCACTTCTCGGGACGCTCGTTCTGGTGGGTGAGCATATGGGCCTTGAGGTCCTTGAAGACCTTGCCACAGTCGGGGTAGGTGCATCGCTGCTTGATCTTGGTCTCGTCTCCGCTGTGGTACTCGCCCGAGGCGGGGGAGATAAAACTGCTCATGCTTGGTCGGCGGCCGGTTGTGTCGACGTAGGGGCTGGGAGCGTAGTTTCCTGGGTGCATCTGAGGATTCGGGAAATAGGCGGGCGAGGAGCTGTTGGTGCGGAGCATCTTGAGCTGTGGTGAAGAGGCGACTGAAGGGGAGGTTGGGAAGTGCTGCTGAGGCTGTTGGTGATGCTGGTAGTGGTAATCGTAGTGGGGCGCAGGCATGGGCAGACCGCCCATTTCCTGATTGATCAGAGAGGGATCTAGAAGCGAGAACAAGCACCTGTCAGCACACGTCCCATTGCAGAAAAATCACCGTTAGGCCAACGAAGCGTATAGCCACATGATGGGAGGACCAGTTGGCGGTCTATCGGAAAGGAGAGAACAGTGCCGTCATGTCCAACCCAATGTGTTCGGATTGGCTCGAGCCCTGTCTCAGACACCCACCCACCCAGAGGGAGATTGGAGAGCATGGCAAGACAGGGACCCGGATCAAAGGCCAAAAGCAGGAGAGCGAGATCAATTGAGACTTACCAACATAGCCCTTTGTAGGTGGCGCAAACTCGAAGTTCATCTCCTCCACATGCTGGGCGTGGAAGCCGAAGTCTGGGTGGTGGGCAATGAAGTCGTTGCTCACAATGGTCGGCTGGACAAGGCCGCTGGTAGCCCACTCGGGGGAAGGCACAGAGTGCTGCCCGGGGTTGGATTGTGGCGAGGCGGCCGCCGAGGAGGCAGCTGAGGCGGCGGAGAGGCTCGAGGATGGGATGCGCAGCTCACTGTCCTCGGGATACATGGTAGGTGAGTTGTTCCCGTGGCCCAGGACGTAGTGTGAGGTCTCGGTGTACATGGCGGGCTCAAAGGCAACCGTTGAGGGGATCGTGTACATGGTGTTCATCTCCATGGGAGAGGTTGTGGCGGACTCGTAGCTGGAGGCAGAGTGGGGAGGGTGAGGATATCGACCATAGTCTTCGCCTTCGTGATGTGACGCGAACATGCTGCGTGCTCGCTGGTTTGCGATTGATGGCTTTGCTACTAGGTGGGAGCTTGTAAGTGGGATTGGCGTGCTTGCTGGAAGCTGGGGGTTCAAGGCAAGCGTTGCGCTTGCTATAAGGCGATTGACTGGATTGGCGTCTGTCTCTCCTTGCTGTCGCTCTTCTTCAAGTGCCGTTGGTGTCGGGACCAGTTCCTTGGAACAAGTCAACAATCCACGAGGCAGGAGTAGTCTCTATCTGAAGTACGAATGTTCATTCCTAGGAGGGACAAACAAGATCGTGTACAATAGAGTGGGCGCGCTTGTTTGCTTGTGAAAGTCGGACCAGCAAACGAGCGATGACGGTGGAGAAGGATGAAAGACAGAGAAAGGGCTTCTTCTTATGCTATGCAAGATGAACGTTGACAGAACGGAATGCGGATGAGGAGCTGCTAGTCCTTGTGAATCAATGGTGAAGCGATCGTTGACAGATGTCTAAGTGGAGTGTTGGTGATGGGAACTCCGAGAAGATATAGAAATGAGGCCCTGACCCGAGGAGCTGTGATCGATTAGGAAAAGAAATACCACTAGCAGGTAGGCATGTACCGTAAGGCAGGGTAGTTGGAGGGGATGGGGGGAGTAGAGCATGGGACGGGATGTGAGAAGATGAATACCGACTAGGTATGTATAATGTATGTGTGTATGCATGTACCTATCATATCATAAAGACAAGCCCCAACTGGGACCAGGATGATTGGTATGCAGCCCCAGAGGCAGTGGGCAATGAAAGCTACACGCCTCTAACCATAGGCGTGAGCAAACAAGCGAGAAGATTGCCGCGCCCATCCCATCCATACTCTCAGGCATGCAGTCGATATTCGGACAAGTGAGCAGGGGGTGGGCCTTGGGACTAGCAAATGGCGGAGAGCAGGCGCAAGGCAGACAGCCCAGGTACGGATGGATCAATCATGACCAGGGGGGGAGGGGTGTGGCGGCAGTGACACTTGGCCTGGTGGATGGATGGTGAATGATGGAGGGGGAGTCGGTTGAGGACGGCGATCCCTAGATGGAGGAGGAATAGCGTCCGCTCCACTTGGCCAGAGTGGTGGTTGTGAGTGTGCCTCAGTGTCTCTCATTTTCTGCTCCAGCGTCCGCTAGCCCTGTCCTAGGCGAGAGTCCTGCCTGTGCTGTGTCCTGCGCTGGCCATGTCGAGAGCCCAGAACAGAAGAGAGCAGATTGGATTGCCTCGAGACAATGCGCTGGCATGGAGAAGGTGATCGGGCAGGAGCATCGCTACATTGCATTGGAATTGGCCTGGGCAGCGGCCCTTACCGACCCAGGCGAGCACACACTGACAGCTGCTATCAGGCTGTATTGGATCGATGTAAGTGGTAATACGTACTGGCTCCGAGCAAGCAGACACACATACGGCCACACAGGCACACCTCCAAGCCTCCCTGCTCCCTGCCCAGCACTCTATTACACATCTCTCCAGGCCACCCTGGCCATGTTGTAGGGCTGCGGAACTCGATTCTAGTCCTAAAATCATAAGGGTTGATCGCTATAACGCCCATGCAACCTGCTCCTCCAGAACCCCTGGTCCCCGCAACGAGCTAGCAGAGACGAGCAGTACACTTCAGGACATTCTCAAACAGAGGCTCTCCACGGTCGCGGCCTCTTGCCGCGCTGGTTAACGAGCGCGGAAAAAGGCTCATGATAGGTAAAACAGGTCAAAGCTTGTAGATGGGTGAGATGGATCGACCCGAATCCCCTGATGAGACCTGTTCCTTATTTCTCCACACACCTATCCTACTGGCCAAGAGGGCCAGAACCTCATCGGGGTGATGACTCTGTGCAGCGAATGCAAGTCTAAGACAAAGAGGAGTCAAAGACATGTCTAATCCGCTGCGGCATGGCCAATTCAAGACTATCACTTTCTCTATTTTCCCTCTTGGATCCATGTGTGTAGGGGAGATGGCTCTTGCCGAAGAGGTGTGAGAGCTGGCGATGATCCCGGCCTCTTCCTCCTATCTATTTACGGAAGATGGTTGTCCAGGTCAGCCACTGGCGATTTGGATGCAACACTGAGTCTGGTTTGGGGGAGGGGAAACAATTGAGTTCACAGATGGATAGGTACAAGATGGCATCTCCGCGATAGTCGAGCCCGTTGTTGGCTATTTGCGATCCAATTTTGGAGCGTCTATTAGATGCAAGCCGTGTCAAAGCCTCATCACACAGCCTACATGGCTGCAGGACGAATGGGATGGGGGATGGGATGGGACGCATGCACGCGCGAGTGTGTGAGGTGGATGTGCGTCTGCCGTCCTTGCTGACGGGCCGGCTGCAGCACGACGACAGAAGCAGCCAAGCTGCATGCCTCTGAGAGCCAGTGTGGGCACGGGCGATGGCACCTGTGGCGCTTGATTCGCCCATCGTCACTTGACCGAGGCCACCCGTAGATATTTTTACCTCAGCGTGCAGCGGGCCTGCAGCGTCTCCAGAGACTCGGCAGGGCCAATCAGTGCGCTGGACCGCGGCGGCCGATGGTTCTGGCGCGTTGAATTAGGGCCCTACACCTCGCTGCACAGCCTGCCCGCTGCTCCCTGTAGCCACTGTGTCTGGGAACATACCGCTGTGGATGTCTGCGATGCGCCATACCATCCCGTCCCATACCAGCCCGACCTTGCACTCGCATCAGGCGACACCCGGTCCTGGCGGCTCTTGCCGGTTCTGGGAATTCGTGTCCCAGTCGTCTCTGGCCTTTCCGAGCCGACACCCCAGCACGGCCAAACAGAGTCCGTCCCCTCCACTCCCAATCCCTTCCCTCCTGGGCCATGCACCATGTCTCGTTTTGTCTGGCTTTGCTTTACCTGGACTGACTTTAGATGACGATGTGCATTGTGCATCCCCCTCGGTCCCGGGCGTCTGGCCCTAGCCCGCGCCTGCCTATCACAAAGCTCGTCCCTGCCCTCTGTATTTTGTATTTGCTTTTTAGCGTTGTCGTTTTTTCCTCCTGCCGTGAATAGCTCATCTATCTGTTTTCATGCACCGCCTGGCATCAGCCGTCATATCTCGAACCCCCCGAACCCCCAACCCCCCTCCTAACCAGGCTGGCGGGATTTGCTCGTTCTCTGGCCAATGTGACGGCTCGAATTCACACCCTACCGTGGAAACCCAGTAGCACTCCCGCTACTATCTCACGGTGCTAAATTACTCATCTTCTGGCCGTAATATGCGCTGCGCTACCTACATACCACCAGGGCGAACCAGACCTACAGGCTGTGCCTTGAGTCCCGTCCACTGGGCGGGTTCTTCCTTCGAAATGCGTGAAAGAATGGAGCGGAATCCCACTATACCGTTCGATATTCCACAGCCGTTTTAGCTTGCTGCTAACTTTTTGACACTGCCGTTTAATGCCTTCGCACAGAGCCTAAATGGGCCCCGGCGCCCAGTGAGTGACGTTTCACAATGAACCTGCTCCGCAAACGAGGCATTCTGGCAAGTGGGAATTTTCACAAGATCCAGAATGCCAGCCTTGGCGTGACGATGCCATCCCCCCTCCAAGCCGAGGCTGTTCTGGACCCTGCTCAATCACAACGTGGGTGCTGGGTCCCCCAGCGGACAAATAGCATTGAGAAAGCCTAAATCCATCAATTCGTCACTTGGCGATTGTAGAATGCAATCGATGGATGACATCCTGCTCGGGCCTCCCCCCCTCCCCGGATGCCTGTCTTATCAATTCAAAGTCTAGACTTCCAACTCCAGTAAAACATCTCGGAAGGAAGCCTGGTCCCGGGGGTTGACCATGGAGATGAGACAACCCTCGTCTTCTCACGAGGTCGGTACTAGACCTCAAGCAGACCATCAGAATACCTACGGCAAGGATGGATGGGCGAGCAACATACCTTTCCCCACGGCGGTGCGGCAGCTTCCGACAGGTCACGCAGCAAATAAGCTTCCGCCATACGGAGAGGGCATCCGCCCATACGAAAGCTCTAACCATTTCGTGGCACCTACCTTCCGGCAAGAGGGTGATTTAATCGCTCCCCCCGTGCGTGAGACAGACGGAAAGATCCATAAGTCAACCAGCTACGTATCTTTCCCCTTCTGTCCGCCCCATCGCCATTTGTGTCTCTGGTTCAAACTCTGAGGCCCAAGATGGGAGTCGAGGGGTCCCACCGGGTCTGCCTGGCCGGCCGGTCGACCACGAGAGGAACCTGCAGACCTGGCCAGGGCCATGAGAGACGGAGAACAGCGAAATATGACGAGTGCGGTTGGGTAGTTGACTGGTTGACTGTCGCCTGCAGTCAATTTGGTGCCCCATCAGACAGACGTTGACACGCCCATCGTCATTGGATTTCCTTGTCTCATCCGCCCAATTCTGCATATTTTTCCTATTAAACTGGGCCAAAACAGACGCAGGCTCGGCACACGGTAGGTATGGCGGTGCATCTGACGTTCGGTTCAGTTCCAAAAAAAGCAGCAGGGTGAGGCGGTGCACACACAAAGGGCGGGCGGGTCCTCGGGCGGGCCACTCGCACATGTTGGGGACGGGGCTTGTAGCTTGTATCTGGGAGGTATGGGTGGAGGCTGCAAGAAGGAGTATCGACTGCGAGATGATGTTGTGAGGTGAGTAACACAACGTCAATAATCAGACGCGATGTGCATTGGCAGCAGCAGGGTCTCACTCATCCATGTGCCTTGATATCCAAACCCATGTTCCTCAACGAGATCGCGAGAGCAAGGTCAGGGAGGACTCTGATCTGTGGGCCAGAGTCGCAGCGAGAAGGGCCAAACCAGCTCCAATTTCCCTCTGGCTAGCCAGGCCCCCTCCCTCCCTTCCGGGTCTCTGAAGACCAAACATGGGGAAAATTCTCCTGAAGCCAACCCGACCGCCTCCGACATGCTCGCCCGGGCGCAAAGTCCAGCCTGCGCTGCTGTCATGCCGCCAAACCAGTTCCTCCCATCGTCGCAGCGCAGCATTACGGAGGGTTCTGACTACAGGCCGGTTTGCGATGTTGCATCAGACGCAGCTTTTCCTCGGATGGGATTGGGAATGGGGCGATTATGGTCGCCTTCACACGAGCCTGATGCCAAGAAGCCGTACACAGCAGAGTTTGGCTGGGGCCAGTCGCGAACGACTCCACGGACGGGCCTACCGAGTCTGGCAGTTGGCACTCTTCTGTTTACGGACGTGGCTAGTAAAAGAGGGTCGCTGAAAGTCCTGATCAAGTATTGACTGATCGCTACGTGCCTGCGGTGTGCTACCAAATTTGGCGGACATTGGCTGATGCCGAGGGCATCTCGCCGCCTGATTGGCCTCCTCTGTCTCGGTGCAACGTGGCGTTGGTGTGCAGTCGATTAGTACATACATGGGGTCGACGGCATCACTGCTACATCTTGGTTGCTTCTCTGGGAAAAGAGTTGCATGTAATGCCGTAAGTCTTGTTCATCCTTTTCCTTTGGGGCTCTTATCCACTCTCCTGCGCAATCTATACACCGGCCGCTCCAGATAATGTCTGTTGTCGTCCTTTTTTCATCCAGTCTCTCGCCCCGTTAATACAATTTGTGGTATCACCATGGCGTTCGGGGTGTAAGTCGGAATGTCATGGCTTGCCGGCCTCCACAGACCCAATTCTCGATGCATGGACTGACACATGGGCTAGTAGACGATGACATCCTATAACACTGTGCTGGGCGGGAGATATTACCTCCCCGCGCATTGGCATACATGATACACGATAAAACAAGGGACCATCCGCTACGTAATGGAATCCCAGCGAGTTGGAAATTGATAAGATGCATCGGGCGGGTCAGCAACCACGTTGGAGGTGGTGGTAGTGGTGGGCGTCCATCTAAGTGATGCCTGTCTATTTTGGAGATGGCGAAGCACGGCCGGCATGTTGCAGCGTATTTCGAGTGAGGGTTCCTTGGCGCTAACTCGTACGAGTCATAATGTTGCTAGGAGCCGAGATGATGGCCCCCCTGCTGATCGCTTAAATGACAGGCATCAAGTCCCGAGCCAGAGGGCATGTGGAGAAGAGGGAAAAAACCACACTCTGCAAATGACAGACGAAACAGCAAGGAGAGAGCCTGTGTGAGACCCCCCCGGCCGCCCAATATTGCAACCAAAGCGCATCAAAAGGAGGTCGAAAAGGAAAACTAAGCTCAGGTTTGCGCTGCTAGGTCTATCGGAGGCAAACAGCATACTGGAAATGACATAAGGAAGCGGTATCATGCAATTGGTAGTAATACTGCGTCGCATCAGAGGAGGAAAAACCACAATAGCCAATTCCTTGATGCGACTGTCGATGGGAAGCAGGATTAGGGTAGGTGTGCACTGGAGGAGGAGGATACCGTAGTGGTGCGTTGCTGGCACACTGCGGCAGCGCTAGGGCCCGGACGTCGTGGCTGAGGGAGCCGGGATTGGAGCGATAAAAGCGATGTGGAAGATAGACGTTCGGGACAGCAAGATGCCATAGGGCTGAGCAGGCGCCGTGAGAAATGCACCTCGCAAGCCCAGGTCGTACATGGTAGGTCCTTAGAGGTTGCTGGAGGCCACTGCACCACCCATACACCACAAGTGCACGCACATGCCCGCCTGCTCCCGCCAGAGGGTTGTGGTAAGCTCACGCTAGCCTCGCTGGCAGCAGAAACCACACTCGTCCTGCAACGGGGCCCCCTGCTATCGGCACGCCTGCACACCAGTTTAGCTTCCTTGCTCGAGGGTTCCGTGGTTGTGGCTCGCCGATGAAGCCCACAGGGCCACCTCCTTTCCGTGGGGGGCGTGCAGATGGCGCTGGCCAATCAGCGGCCGCGAGGAGCCAGGGCCGCCAGATGTGAACGCCTCCCCGAAACCCCTGACAGTTGCTCTGCGGCATGTGCCGTGGTGGGATCCATCACCCTCTAAACCCGAATTGGGCTATCTGTGCGATAGTTAACGCCCCTCCCAAGGCCACATTCTGTCTCTGACCCTGCGTGCCACAGGGTCGGCCGCCCCCAGGAGACGGCCTGGAGTCGCGACTGACCACAAGCTTTCACCCGCTGGAATTGGATGCCGTCATGTGCGACGCAATATTGGCTACCATGGTCCAGTTTGACTTTCGGGGGCCTATCCGAAATGCCATGTGCCAGGCTACGTTAATGTTTCTTTCGATATTGCTCTATACTTCCGGGCATGCGGAGAGTCTAGATAGCCGAAGGCGGTGGCCCCAATGCCTGTGCTCTCTTCTGCGGAAATCCTTTGACTTTACTAGTAGGTACCTACGTCGAGCGATCAAACCGCTGTACAGCTGATAGGCCCTTGCGCTAGTCTCTTTCAACTCGTCCTCCAGCACGGAAACGCGGACGTCGAGGACCACTAACAACCGGACGCCGCCAAATTGGCAATGTGATTCGTCCAAACGCCGCGCAGGTCACGTTGGCGCGACTGTCTCTGATTGGGCTTGCTGTGCTCGGGCTTGCCGATCTGGAGACGGCAGAGAGAGACCTACAGTAATATCATCTGGACGCGAACAAATACACATTATGTCACAGACTCTTGGCTGGCTGCACCAACAGGCCTGCGAGATGACATGAGCAATTCCGTTTTTTTTTCTCTTCGCTCCCACCGCAGCATAGCCAGTTTCATTTGGCGGGTACCACCTATGTCCGCCTGTCGTTTTATTCTCTCTGTTTGTTGGGACCTACCTAGCATGGTCCGCGGCTCGCTTGTCATGCCCTTGGGCATCAGCTCCTAATCTCTTCTGGCTTTCTTGCTTTTTCGGATGCGAGATATTGAGGACCTGAGGCGAGACGGCAACGAGCATGGGCTTGGGCATGGGCATGGGTTCCGATACTGGGCCGTGCACCGCGTCCCGACCGACCTCAAACTCCTCGCTGCTCACCGGCCTGGGGTTGGATGGACGGACCATCGGTGATAAGGCTAGGCTATCGCAGGGGGGCCTCCTCTTGTTGAGGTCATCACGAACCATCATGGATCGCGCCAGGGGATGACCTCTTAAAATGGGGCAATCCTTCTTGAAACTCGCCCGATTAACCACGACAAGGGGGGGAACCCTCCCCTTGATCGACGACGGGTTTTTCACTCTGACTTCATTTTGCAAGACGCGGTTCTGTGGGGAGGTCGGGGGGGAGCAGTTGCTGTGCCTCGCCTCTCTTCTCCATTTCGGTCCCTGTCCACGATCATCCCTTTCCTAAGCGGGCAAAATTACCATCTTCCAGCCATTGATCGTATTCCTCGCATCTGCGAGGTCGCCCCTTCCCGAATGATCCCCGGCGGGGAGTGCTCCAGGGTCCCCTCCACGGTACGTACCTCTGGCTATTTCGTTCGAATTGCCTTTTTTTTCCTTCCTCCAGCGACCCGCCGGCGGGAATCCACAGCAAAATTGCCGATGGAGATCCAATTTAATTCTCGCCTGTTGGCCGGATTATCGAAAATCCACCGACTTACACACGGGATTCAACCACGAGATGCCATGACCCTCTGCTCGCATTCATCGCTCTCTGCCATGGTGACTCAACACCCATCCCCCTTTCTCCTGCTCGTCTTGAAACGTTCATGTTAGGGCTGGCCTGCCGGCTAACGTCAGCGCCCATAATCCCATCCGCCAATCTTGTTTAAACAGCTCAAATACGAAGTGGCTTTCCCGCGCCCGATATCCAACGGTCTCAATCGTTGTTGGGAAGGGGAGGTGACAAGTCACTATCCACTCTCCCAAACTGCCGCTCTAATTATAGTCATAGTCATAACCGGAACTAGCACCAATTCTCAAGCGCCGCCTCAAATCTCCTCTCGGGTCCTAGATTCTGCCCTATGCAGAGCTAATGTAAGGTCTTGGAGGGGGGAGGCCGCCGTGTACCTATTAAACTTCTCACGACAGACCGCCCGGCGTGACGCTTCGTTTTTTTGCATGCAGCTAACACCTCATTCTTCCCACTGACAATCCCGTTCATGTGCCTAGGACTTTGGGCTTCCCACCACGCCCGGGGAGGGAGAAGGGGGTGGGATAGGACTTTCACACGAGGAAGGGAGCCAATCTGCTGGGCCTCATCGTCAGATATCCGACGCCGTGAAACCAATATGCCCCCTTTTCCTTGCTTATTGACTGTAATTACAGGTACGGCGAAGAGGTGATATATGATTGCCGCCGGGTGATGGGTGTTTTGCTAGTATACCAACGGCTATCGCCCGTTGGGGTGACCGTGCGCCTGGCCGCGACTCCCGCGGCAAGCCATCAATTCTTCCCATCACCATGGACCGTTGATCCCTTCATCCACCTCCTGAGACCTGCATAGTACACGCTCGCGCTATCGTTAGTTGGAAGAGGGGGGGGCGCAAAGGCTTGCAGAGAGGGTGGCAGGCACCAGGAATCGAGAAATCTCCCGCAAGGTTACCACTCTCCCGGTCTAGACGTCCAAAGGGGCGTGAACAGCCACCAGCTACAGCTACATCCACGGCTCAGAAGTTGGGATGTGGCCCGTGGGCGAAGAAATATCCCTAGCTTTTGGTCTATGGTTCTGCGGAGGGAGGGGGATTCACACTTGGACACGTATAGTACGCACATTAGTGCTAATCACGGTGGCCCACAGCTTCGGCGATGGGTTTGCCTAGTAGAAATCATCTCTCACTGTCCAGTCCTCAAGCTACTGGAGACGATGAACATAAGGCTGAGCTAGCGACATTCATTGTCTTTTGTCCCCCAAAATGGGTTTATGCCGTGATATCACCCATATGTCAGGCTGTCATCTTTGGCTGCCCCCCGAGGGAGGGGCTAGAATGGTCGGGGCGGGCCAGGCATTGACGCCACGGATTGAGGGCCGGCCAACCACGATCTTCCTGTATGCCTCTGCTGTGATATATTTGAAAAGTTGTGGCGGTCTAGCTCTCTGTATGTCTTAGCCCAAAATTGGCAGTTAGGGTTGACCACCTGGCGCTGGCGCAGCACCTCAACTGCCGTCTAAGCCGCCTGGGGGAGGAAGGGAGAGGTCTCGATTTGAGTTCACCACCATGCCGTTGCTGTTTTGGGAGTGAGGGGGATGAGGGGTTGGCATCCATTCCCCATGAACACGATCTTTTCTGCCTGCATGATGCGCATGACTCTACAGTGCAGAGACTAGGGTGAACCATGAACCAGAAAAAGAAAGCCCAAATTGCCTCTTGCTCTGCCAATGCCACCATGTCCTGCACAAGGCTCATTTGGACTGGTCCTGCATTCGCTATCTTCCGTGTCGCCAGTTCTAGAGCATTGAAGAGACAAAGCGGCTAAGACACTTTGGAGTAAAGAGTGAGAGGTGGCACTGTCACACCCAGGCTGCTGGAATGAGCCTCCGCCGTCACTGCGAAAGCTGTCGGCCGCCCCTTGCCGCCCCTGTTTTCCCCCTCTTTCTTTATGTGTTTTTTGTTTTAATTTTTGTTTCAGTCCGTCGGGTTTGCTTGCAGCCTACCTTACGCTTTGTGCTTAGACGCGGCGCGCCGCTCGCCATTCATTGAGATAAGCCTTGTGCTAAAAGAGTACGTACATGGCCTGGTACGGTCGCCGACAAATTAACTTGGCCCGGGGTTCTTGGCAGACGTTTCTCACACTGGCCAAGTTGCTGAGACCCAGCGTAGTGGTTGTGCTCGGGTGAAACTTTCTCCATCTGACCTATGGGCAACCGACGGAGGATGCACCGACACTCTCCAGGGGTCGACACGTGTACTGGTAGGGGTTATCCTGCACCCACCCGGAAGGGGGTAGAGTTTGCCTGGTGACTATCCAGGAGCCTTGCATCGAGACCAAAGTATTGAACCATGAGGTGGCAACCAAATCTATTGTTCAATCCCTATCCCTATTGTCCTGCTGGTTAGCAAGGGGATACCTGTACGGTATCCCAGTCGAGCAGTCTAGATATTAGCCACCAAGGAAGCTAACATGATCTACATGGCGCACTAGATAGAGATGTTAGATGCCTCATCGCAGTTTAATAATATCAATGCAATTGAACTTCTCGTTTGGGGTGAGGTGGGGGTGGTCAAATTGATCTACCAAGCCAAGGGGGGGCGTGGACCAACCTAGGAGCCTTGAATTAGGATATTGCGGGTGCCAGACGACAATATTTGCTGGTGGTTGGCAAAGGATGAAGTACTATGTAGGACCATGCACCAGTCGTACCAGACTCGAGCCTTGTTTGTTTCCAAGTACATGCGCATGTGCGTTGTGACAGACCGTAAACGAGGGCAGACGTTTACCACCAGGGTAGCAATCAACCAAGCGAAGTCACCAGCTACCATGTTGCAGCGGCCTGCAGAGTCCTATTGGTTACCAATGTTCCTGGGCCTGGGCTGAACTCGCAGGTCTTGGAAATTATTAGGACCATGTGAGCGCTAGATTTGACAAAGCAAAAAAGCAATTCCTCTCATATGCCATGTCGATGGCAAGATGACAAGATGAGATCCAACCATAAGCCAGCATCAGCGCGCGGCAACCAGCCAGCCTGAACTGCAATCCTTGCCTTGTTCATGGTGGAATGTAACGATATATGCGGTGGATCATATTTGGTTGGTGCCCAATGGCTGGTAAAGTTTGTTTGGGGATAATCGTAAGGGGAGGACGGCAAAGCAAGGCAAGGAGGGTTCCATTGCATCTCGTCAATCTGGACCTTGGAGCACACGCCCAGGATTGGCCGCCTGCTCCCACGAGACGGAGCGGCAGGAATGGGATGTGGATGTGGATGAACGTGGGAGTGGGAGTGGATGAGGCCCCCGTCTGTTACGGCACGGTACACTACCCTAGGCTGGGGCAGTTTTGAGTCTTGCTGGCTCGTGGTAAAGGTAAGGCTCGCCGTAGCGCCTCTCTGTTTAGCTATCCTTGGTTACACTGGGATGGACTGGAATGAAGCCGCCAGAGAGCGGCCCACCCCCTCCCCTCCCCTCACCCCACATCTAGGCTTTCTGTCCCCGTCGGTCAGCCTACCTGGAATTGAAGGAGGCACGGGACGTGATCGTATTAGAATACGTCGATAGGCAATAATGCAGGATCGTGTATGTAGGAACGCGGAGAAAGTGTTGATATGGTGAATAGTTCAAGGTTGCATCATGACATGACCCTTGCCCCTCGACTCCGTCATGAGGTGGTCACGCTGCCCTTGCGTGGGAGGTATCGGATGCTATAGTTAGATGGGCTATGGTCTTGATATCACTAGAGGACGTCTAGATTTGGGGTTTGAGGCGGTGGATGTGTATGGATAGATAGCGCACATTTTCTAGCGAAGAGGAAGGGCTTGGAATGATCACCTTGAGGAGAATAGCACACAGAAGCTCTGCGCAGTATGAGACCAGACCGTGCCACCGGCACATATTCAAGGCCAGACCCTTGGCGGGTAGTTTGCATGTGTCACTGGGCAAAGTCTCCGGCCGCGATATCGAGGGCCGGAACCACGCGACACATGGAACTACTACCCAGTTGGCGAGGCGGATGGGGCGGGCGGGTGTGATTCACCAGGTTGCCTAGCATGCTATCGCAATGAGCACCAATTCGTGGCTAGGCCATTGCCGGCAAAGCTGCAGGCAGGTCCTGGGTAGGTATGCAACGGGTGATGGTCGAGGAAATGCGATGGTGTTGATGGAAGAAAGCCAGCTGGGCCTTACCCTGCTCTGGGCGGGAACCCTGCCCTGGGCATGGCAACTTCCCGTAGCGTAGCAGATCTCCCACCGGCGTGACGGTGGTGGTAGTGCTGGTCTCGAACCCGTCTTTCGCTAAATGACGGAAATCTTCCGCACTTGAGCGAGAGTCGCAGCCTTGGCAGTGGAAGGCTGCCGCACACTTCGCAGAGATGTCTGCCCTCGTTAGTCGTGACCCGCAACTACCTACCTAGGAAATTCCCACAGTTCGCCGTGCCCACCCATGGTGCAACCACCACCACTGTGTCGAATGTCTAAGTATAAACTTCATTACACCTGTCTCCTATTGACGGGGCGAAATTATGCACCGCGCCACTATCGTGGTGCATCGCATCGGAGCCAAGTTGGTCAACGGTCCGCTCTCCACATGCATACCAGCGACACTTGACGTGTTGGCATCTCATACTAGCTAGCCCCATAACCAAGTCGTGAATGAGTTTAGGATATGCTTTGCCGAGGTTCCTATGACCTGCTCCTCCTGACACGGAACCCAGGAACTTAAATCCATCCGGTCAAGATGCAGGGCATTTTCGACAGTTTGCCTGCCTTGTGGTGGATACGCTCCTTACAGATGTCTTTAGTGCCTGCTTGGCATGACGAGGAGGCATTTTGTTGACAGCTAGGCTAATATCGCATGAGGAGGGTATGTCCCGAGTGCGAGATTCATGAAGTTGATTTGCCTCTTCCGGTACTCCCGTCCAAAGACCAGGAGAAACGGGATATTCGACCTTCCCCTCCGTTTCCACCGACCCTTTAACCTCCGAACCTTCACTCTTCGTCATGATAATCTATTTCTTTTATTCCACATCACTGCTAGCGTACGAACCCCGGCGTCTTACCATACGGTGGCCTGATTCCGTCGTCGAAGGTTTGGCTAGTTGAGCCTCACTTGTCCTGCGCCGTGGTATAAGTCGACCGTTGAACAGGTCGCACATGGTCAGTAAAAAGAGTTGTAGGGTAAGTAGAGGATCAGGGAATTTAGGTAAGAGGACGAAGATCAAGATCAAGATTGTAATGCGCGTTCTCGGGCGCTAGATGTTGGATGCCTACATCACTACCTACTTTGATATAATATATTGCTCTGAATCATGTCGCGAAGGCTACATGAGTCGTGATCGCGCCAAGAGAATGACATGGAACGGGGGCAATTGGACACGCATCGCGCTTGGCGCCTATATGAAACTCATTGGGTTTCTATTCTTTCATTGATACAATAAGAACCGTTTTTTTTATTGAGCATCATCTCCATGTTGGTGTATTTGTTGAACTTTCTTAGATAACATGCTGGAATACACAGGTGACGAACTTTCCGATATCATGCTTTGTCATCCGGTTTGATAGGAAACAGGAACCACCCAAACTGTAAAGCGGCTAAATAACGGAATTTAACTACCGCGACGGTGCCTGTCACGTGCCACAATTCCAATCCCTCGTCATCACTAGTGGGTCGCGGTCGTTGAACGTGGCTTCAAGCTCCGTCAATCGATTATCAGATATCCAGAGCATCATCAACGCCGTTATCACCAAAGTTGCGATGGCGAAGACGGGGATGTAGCTGCATTTCGGAATACCATATATCTGATATTGCGACCCCATTGCCCATGTCAAAGATGCGTTTAGGCTGGTATGCCGGGGTAAGTGCGCACAACGCCACTCCATATTGGAGATTCGAGCTTGAAGCTCTCCAGCCCCTCCATCAGTGACAACAGCTAATACCAGGTCTAGGCCTCATCGGCCCTTGCGGGATCGGTGGTTCTATCGGCATTCTATCAGAGGTCCAACTTCTACTCGGCCATGGTTTATCTCGCTCAGAGTAACTTCTGTCTTCTGGTTCGTTGCATCTATTCGCACGCATCCCCCTGCAACCCATATACTGACACCTAAGTTAGATACTCCTAAACTTTACTCTTATCGTCTACAGCAGTTTCCTGTACAGCCTTACGCGACTATGTTTTGGCCGATTGCGAGCTGTCGAGATCGAACAGCTCACCGAAAGAGCTTGGTTCGCCATCACCGAGACGTGCCTTGCCATGACGATATTCAGGGAAGAGATTGGGGCTTGGTTTCTTGTCATGTTCACGGCTTTGGTGACCGGAAAAGTCTGGGGTTGGATAGGAGATGGCCGAGTCGAGGTCCTTGAACAACAGCCTCCAGCAAACCCCCGCCTCTTCCATCTGCGCCTTAGTATTTCTCTCGCGGCAAGCTTCATTTATGATGTCTGGCTGCTCCGCTACACCATCAATACGGTCATTCAACAAGCGCGTCCTAATATGATGGTTATGTTCTTGTTCGAGTTCGCCGTTTTGGCCACATGTTCATGGCGCACCGGCGTTCGCTACTTGCTCTCAATCGCCGAGCAAAACATCGTCAAATCTCAGACTCAAAAACGCCTGCTTGAGAGGAGGAGGGAGGTGAGGGAGCAGCGTTTGGCGATACTCAGACAAAGAGAGCAAGCTGAAGCAGCTGGGGAAGAGCCGCCAGCAAACCAGGAGCCTCTGCCAAATGAGGATGATGTTGATGAGATGGATATTGAAGTTCCAGGCTGGGCGTCCAAAGGCGAATGGGTACTTTGGCTTGACCTGATCACCGGTATGCCTCCCCTTGCACCATTATATTCCAGTTTGTTTCTAACCAAGCGATTTCAGATATGATCAAACTTGGGATTTATGTTGCCTTTTTCTTCATGCTCCTCATGTTCTATGGTCTCCCGATTCATATCATTAGAGATCTATTCATGACATCGAGAGATTTCTTGAAACGGCTGACCGCGCTCCTACGCTACCGCCGTGCTATCCAGGAAATGAATCGTTATCCCGATGCCACAGAAGAAGAGCTAGCTCAGGAGAACACGTGCATCATTTGTCGTGAAGAGATGCGGCCTTGGGACCCAGAAAACACGGGTGCTGTTGATCGTACCCGTCCCAAGAAGCTACCATGTGGCCATACTCTGCACCTGGGTTGTCTCAAGAGTTGGCTTGAGCGCCAACAGGTGTGCCCGACTTGCAGAAGCCCTGTGACTGTTGACCGGGCCCGGGCTTTCCCCAACCGCCGAATAGGTCTTAGGATACAAGTTGGTGGTAATGCCCAACAGGGCGCTGCACAGCAAGGTGCGAATGCCCCTGACCCTGGTGCGGCGGACGGACAGCAGCAGCAACAGCCGCAACAAGCTCCAGGTCCCCAAGATAATCAGCAGCCCGAAAACAGACCCCGGATCTTTAACCTTGGTCCCCTTAGGCTGGGTTTCGGTGCCAATGGTGCACAAGTTAGGGAACTTGCACGCCAATTTGGAGCTCAGCCTGGAGCAGGCAATGTTGGAGCAGCGCCAGCTGTACCAGCGGTGCCATCTCCAGGAACAACGGCACAACCACCATCCTCAAACGATAACCTCCAGAATGCCGCGCACCTACTACAACAAGCCGAGCAAGCTTTTCAGCGTGAGATGCTTGCCCTTGATCTTAGACTCCGAGAGCTTCAAACATGCGATCTCCTCCTTGCAGAGTTGCAAAGACTCCGCCAGCGCCAGACAATGTTAGATCAACCAACGGGCTTGAATCCCTTGCCTGGCTCATCTCCCAACCTGTCTTTTCCAGCATCCTTGTCTCCCAACACTGGTGGGGTTTTCCCTCATCAAGTGCCGTCGTTCCCAAGCGTTCCGGCGCGGATTAATAGTCCATTGCTCGGCCGCCATGGAACTACCAGTTACACAACAGAGATCCCAGCCGGAAGCCCTGATCTTCCAGATGGCGTCGTGATTCCACCAGGCTGGTCGCTCATGCCACTCCAAAGACTCAGTGGAATTCAGCCCCCCCGGCAGCCTTCGCCCCATCCCGGCCCTGCACCACCATCTGTACCCAGCACCGAACCCGAGAATGGTTCCTCGCCGGCTGGAGATGCCCACGGTCGTTCTTTGAGACCTACAGAAGCCCCCAGTGATACACATGCCTCGCGCTCGATCCCCGCTGTCCATACAAGCCGGACAACTGCGGACACACCCGTGGTCAGCCCAAGCCCTGTGCTACCAAACTGGGGTGGCCCTGCCCAGCTCTTCGGAAGCAGTACACGTCTTGACGCGACTTCCGCCATGGAGTCGCAACTCGAACCAGCTACCCAAGCCGCTGGTGAACCAACCTCGGCAGACCAATCTTCCCAAGATACCCAGCCTGCAGCTGAGAAAGACGGCAAGGGCAAAGGCCGGGCGGTGACAGTGGAAGAAGTCCCCGAGGCCGACGATGACGAAGATGAAGATGATAGCGAGGATGAATAGACGCAGTTGGCGTCTTGAGCACAAAGCGATGCGCTTGCATCGTCGTTTTGGCATGGAAGGGGGCCGGTGGAGGATGGTGTATTTTTTTCTTAAGCAAGACTGCACAGCGAAAAACGTCTATTTCTTGCTGCTTGCTGTGTTACTACGTGTTCTACCATAGGGAGGCGAAAAGGGCTGAGCAGTGGACGAGGTGGCTCCCATAAGCATAGCACATGTGCAAATTTTGGCGTTTTCTTCTTTTCTTGGTATTCGGATGATAGCATGATACAAATGCATTAAAAGCTCAAATGAATCCGACAATACCCTCACTCATATACAATACACTGATAGATACAAGGCCCTCCTCACAGGATGATCATAAAGGCAACATTGACAATCAATTGGAAAAACCTCTTGCCCCGCGCGTCTTTAGCCCAACCCCGATGCTATGATATCTACGTATTCATCTCCATCTCCAAATGCTTCCTGCCAAAACTAACTTATTTCTTACATAATTACCAAAAAAAATCGGGTTAACACAATTTCCACGACGGCCAAAATGCCCCGTCAAATACAGAAACCAAAACAAGAATTGAGATGATAGAGAATTGACAGTACGTGCTTAACCAAAAAGGTATATGCTTCGCTGAAAGGGTGGGTTCGAAATCGCCGGCACCAGGAGATACCGAGCCAAAACCTGCGCTTTATTCCTACATTTCTCTCCTGTTGCTTCGATGTAGAGGGCATGAATTTGTTTGTCGACTGAATACTGGGCGCCACCCCAGTCAACTGACATGTCTCGAGCACTCTCGTTCCTGAAAGCAATTATTCAGGAGCTTTCGGTCCGGGCTTAGCCATGGGTGATTCGAGCAAGCCTCCACGCTGTCTCGGGGCCTCCTGAGACGGGCCTCGAGGTGCGTCATGGGGCAATGTTAGCTGGAAGGTGCTATCTGCACTGCTTTGTACAGTTCCCTGCAGTGTGCTAACTGGGACAGTTTGGGAGATGAAACTAGGCGATCTGATGCTTTCTGAGCCAAATGGCAAAGAACGCTTTGGTATGCTGTGGCCCACGTCCTCAACCACATTGTCCACGTTAGCACTGGCTTCTAGCCTAAGCAATAGCGCTTCATATTGCTGCCTAGCCAGCTTTTGGAGCTGTACCTCCGGGTCCTTGAGTGGAAGCAAGAGGTCAGTCAAGTCGCACAAGCAGTCTGTAGGTTGCCATCGTCTGCCATGCACACATACCCAGTCTGACTGCATTGGGACACCCTCCGCCGATGGCAACGGCAGCGAAAGCTCCAATTCCCGGGCATCTGGCTGATCCTGACCCCAAAAAGACGGGCGCGCAATCGGAGCTGGCGTCACAGGTAAGCTTGGGCGCTCAACCGCGCTTGGGAAGTCAGTCAGCTTGAAAACCGATTTATTAGGATCTCGGCGGTAGCGAGGGCCGGTAGTAGCCGGGGAAGAGATCCCCTGCAGAGACTTTCCGCGCTGATGCTTTTGTAGTCCTTCTACATAGCGGTTTATTTCTGGGACTTCGTCCCAGGCGTTGCTCAGTTGAAAAGCGTCCCATGGTTCTGCTTGGACAGTTGATGCTTCGGTAATTGTGAGTTGGGATGGTAGAGTAGCTATTGAGCTCCCTGCCTCAGTTCCTGTCTCTGTTGAATCTCCTTCTGGTGGTTGTGATTCAACATGGAGGCCAGATTCAACCGAACCACCGACACCATGTTCAACCCAAGGACCGGCATCCTGAAGGGTGGCGACAAAATCTGGAACAACACTTGCGAATGATCGTGTGGGTTTTGGCTGTTGGCCTTCCCATGGGAACAGGGGTTTTGGAGGCTCAGCTGGTGGTGCTGGGGGGGCCGCCGGCACCTCGTACCACATATTCTTTGGGGGGCTAGGATAGCGTGGTGGGGGGACAAATGGTGCAGCATCTTGCGACATTTCATAGTGCGTAGATGGGAAGTTGATGGCCTCGGGGGCAGAGTCAGCTGGTGGAGGCTGCCTGGTTTAATGATGTTAGCAAATGGGAGCGGGGATAGGGGACTCCATCTGCCTTACCTTTGAGCATCCCAACTGGACATTGCTACTTCCGGTTTATGTTCAGTCTGCGTTTCTTGCGGTGGCTGAGCCCTGGCCTGATCATGGGTATGGTGGGCGTGGTGAATGTGTTGCCCACTATCATGGGTTGAGGCGCTTCCCGGTCCTGGTGGGTGCTCATGATGAGTGTGTTGCCCGCCATCATGGGTCGAAGTGCTTCCTGGTCCTGATGGGTGCTCATGGTGCTGACCCGGCTGAGCTTCTTGGTGCCATTCTTCGTCGGGTTTTTGGTGATCACCGTGGCCTTGATGACCTTCATGCTCTTGGTGCCCCTGGTGCCCCTGGTGCCCCTGATGTCCTTGATGATCCTGATGTCCTGGATGATCATGATGACCTTCGTGACCTTGGCCCCAATGCGCTTGTTGGCCTTGCGATCCTTGGTAACCCTGATCTCCTCGGTGATCATGATGATCTTGATGACCCTGTGAACCTTGGTGCGTCCGTTGCTCTTGATGATCGTGAGGCCCCTGATGGGCTTGGTGGCCTTGATCCTGCCGGTGGCCTTGTCCAGTACCTGACTGCAGAAGTGTCGGCTTGGGTCGGTATTCACCTTTGGTAAAGTACTGGACATATGTAGAAGTAGAGCCTTGAGGCTGGCCTGAGGATTGTTCCTGAACCGCAATGTTAAAATGAAACCGGATCATGGAATGCTCTGGCAATTTATGTGAGAGTTGAGACCAACCTGTGCTCTGTAATGTCGATCATAGACTGCCCACCATCTCCCAATCATGTCATCGAAAGGCGAATCGTCATGTTTGGCATGGCGACCTGCAAACCAGGGTTTATTGGCGCCAATGAAGTGAACCATGTTTATGCTGGACTGGAAGTGGCGGTAGGCCGGTATGTACTGGTAATGCGCAGAAGGAGTGACGTTGTACGAGAAGCTAAGACGGTGATAATTGTCCTTGAAGTGCATATTCAATAGACCTTGGTCGGCACCGTCAAACGAGATGCCTCTTTCGGCCATTGCCAACATTGCATAGAAATCGCCGAGGTTGGGTGTCAGTACCATGACACCCGAATTGAACAGGTCAGGCCATCCGATGTCGGGTGCAGCAGCGAACGGCTCAGCAATGTCGAATAGCTCATCTGGGGCACGATAGGCGACCACATCAGCGTCTATATACACTACCTTGGTGAACTGGGTCTGCTTCCAGAGATTGATCTTGGTGAAGGCCGAGTGAAGATCAGCGCGGTTCATGAGATAGAGATTGGCTGGCTTCTCATTGCATATCCGAGGAACAGGCAAGACATGGTCGTAGACGGTCTGGTTAATACGGGTCAGCACGGCACATCTACTAACGCATTGGTCTGCTCCATAGCAGAGCTGACACAGCAGAAGGAGAAAGTCCAATTACCTTGAGCTGGGTTATGGATTCCGCAGAGACGGTGTCGAGGGTGACCAGAACCACCAGCTTCTTGGTCGTTCCGGCATCGCGCAACGAATGGGCAAGCACAAGAGCTCCTTCACCAAGGGAGAGGTTAGTGGGGCGCAAAAGCTCGGGAGCGCCAATGCCACGTACCTGGGAGATAGGAATCGCTCAAGAGAAGCTTTGGAGACGAGCCAAGCGTCGAGCGTTAGCGAATGCATTGCCCTCAATCGTGTCCTACACAATTGCTTCGGCGACAGTGGGGAATACAAACCGTTGCGTACACATGCTCCTCCCCACTCGCCATTGCAGCCTCGGAGGCCGAACGGCCATGGACGTAGCGCGACCGCTTGGGAGAAGCAAAGGTCGATCTCGACGGTGCTGGGGGAGGCGCTCTCAAGAATGAAGGCGAGGCACTGGGCGAGCAGAGCCGGAGCGGACGGGGTGGTAATGGGGAGGTATGAAGAGAGAGCTCGAGATTGACGATGGCCTTGTTTACGGATGAGTTGGGCTATACATAAAATAATGGCAGGCAGGTCGCACCAGCGATTGCTGGTGCAGTTGCCAAATTGGTACCGACCGTTACGACATATGTACCTCACGACTGCAGGCGCCTCCAACGGCGACGGATGTAACTTCCAACCACAGCCAAGTACAGCACGTGGTTAGCGCCAGAGACTAGCGGCCGTGGCCAAGGACATGCGTTAATACTTCTGTACCTGTAATCTTATACAATGGCCTCCATCTGGCTTGTCTTTGCGTCGGCAGTTTCTCCCTCATTGTTCCCTCGTCCATGGGTCTCAACGGGCAGGCGTCCCTAACAGTGAGTGTGCTCGCTACTGCACGTAGCTCGTACCCCAGATTGGGTGGGTTACATATATGCATCATAGGGGGGCAGCTCGCAGGCTCATTCGCGGGGGCTGTTGCCTTTGACGCGACCCCGTTTGCAGGTGCATTGCATTGGTTGGCATTATACCCATAGCAGCCAGTGATTCCTGCAGCCTGCCATTGCGTAGTGGGCCAGCGTTGGAGTCGAGTCGAGGTGGCGGGTAACAACAAACCCTCACGAGCCCCTGCCTGACTCGCCCAGCGCTGTGAGCAAAACCCCCCTCGCTCCATCAGAGACAATCTACATAAATACATCATAAGATGCTACCATGATACAAATTCAACTTGTGAGGTCCCACGAAGCCCGATGCCGGCTGTGGTTGCATCTACAGATCCTCGCCAATGATTCATAACCCTGCCCGTTTCAGGAGAGCCGTCTACACACCCTCTTGCAGGCCAGGACGCAATATGCAAGGCCAGGAAACTTTCCTCTGCCGAGTCTGCAAGATTAAAATTGACCTTGGCCAGAAAGACGACACAGATAGATAGCGCTGCAAGGTATTGGGCCAGCCTGCAGCGACAACACCCACCTATCCTCGATTCAGCTGTGTGGCGGTGGGCGCAATGGCCTCATTCACCATTCTAAGTTTTATCTAACGTCCAAATGCCACCCTGGCTCATCTTTGCAACTTTTTCTCCCGTCCAGCTTAATTTCGCATTACGAGCCTTCAGTATTCTGCTTTACATCCCCTGGGGCAACATCTATCTGTCACTCAAAAGCGCTCCGGCCCTGTAGCGAGACTCCCGAGGCCTGTAATTACAGCGATTTTCAGCTCTGTGGCCAACCTAGCTCTCGTCTATCAATCCAGCCGTCCAGCCTTCATAGCCGCCACCAGTCTCTTCAATTGCGGATCGGGGCCTTCGAACAACTCCTTGCAGTCCTGTTCCAAACTCTGGACCATGTCCTTGCAATACTCGACATACTCCTCCATCTCAGCTACAAGTTCCGGCTCCAGCTCGTACACCTGGCCATCCCGATGCAGCTTGTAGAGCACTTCATAGTAAAGATAGTCCACGTCGCAAATGTGCTGGAGGGCGTAATGGAACCAAAACCGCCGGCTGTTCCAGGACTCGAGCATGAGCGTTGATAAAGCCTTGGGGTCCTCGGGGTGGGGGGCTACCCCTTCCCATCCCATCCGGTCTTCTGCCCGTGCTTCAACCTTCTTCATTGCTTCTATAAATTTCGGTAGAGCCTTCTCGTACTTTGTGATATAGGTGTTTATATCATGTCTACGGATGTAATAGCTTGGGGGCAGACCGACAAGCCATGGAGGTGGATCGGACAAGAATGGGCGCATCGTGAAATTTGAAAACTCGACGTTGAAAGCACCTGTGATCCTGCCAGTTCTCGGGTCGTAGAACATCTTATCTGGATTCAAGTGTGGGGCGAACGGGACAACAGGAGTATAGTGATACTCTTCCATGTCTGTATAGAGCTCGTCGATGAGCGACGTAAATGAGTGACGGGCTCTATAGCGGAGGCGGGCGCACTTTTCAACCTCCTCTAGGTCGATGTTGGGATCCTTGTCTCGGCAAGATCTTCCCAATGTGCCGGGTTTATCTAATCGCCTTGGTGAATTCAAAGTACGTAGATCCCAGAGAAACATCCTCTGCTCACTAGCCATGCGCTGAATGTAATCCAGGCGGAATGAGTAGGGCGCATCAAGGAAAGGTGTCGAGGGATACTCTGGTATTCCCTCGCTCTGCAGGTACAAATCAGGCGTAAAAAGGCGCTTGGTACCCTCCCATTTTCCCGAGTTGTCTCTTCCGATGGAGCCGATATCATAGACATCCTGATGTCGGAGCTGAAGGCAGAAAAAAGCAAACTCTTCGTAGATCTTGGATCGTATTGTGTCAGACTCGGATCCTGAGTCCGGCAGAGTGGCCAGGTATTCACTGAGGATTTGGCCTTCCCTTATTACGTCCATTAAGATAAAGGGAAGATTAAGAATAGGGACCAGGTCAGAAGCATCCTTGCTGAAGCTATAGATATGTGGGATGGGTATGCTTGTATCGGCGGAGAAGTATTCCATCCACTCGCCCTCGTTCGTTATCTTTTCCGCTTTTAGGGAAGTACTACTGCCGCCTGGGTAGGGAACACGGAGCAAAACAAGAGACCCGTCAGAGAAGGCAAATTCAAAGATGAAGTGGCTGCGGCCTTCGGATGTGCTCTCATGGGTAGCTGGACCTCGATCTTCCCCTATTCGACTGGCGACAAACTCCTCTAGCGCTTTGATAACACTAGGCTGTGTGAACGAGTCTTTCATTCTCAGCCTCTCGGACTTGGCGACAGCAGTGTAAGCCGTATCCCATTTGACTTCAAAGAAGCCAGGCTGTAACCCTTCTAAGTAATTCACCATGCTGAGGGTTTTGATGGCAGGGAACCTGGAATGGGCTGATTTGATGACACGGTGCCCTTGACACGTTGAAAATATTTAGTGAGAATGGAGGTGATGGCAGAATATCGATTGCCTAGGCATTGGTTTGGTTTGATGTTGACCTGGAGGCACTTTAGATGTGAAGTGATGCGATGACCACCAACAAACGGAGTTTCATGTTAGCGCCTGGGACGAATAGCTCACATACATTATGGTTACGGTAACTAGCGGCTGGAGCTCAGCCCCGCTGCTATAATGCACTCACCTATTTCCAGTTTGGCTTCCAACAGCAGGGATCTAATGCTGCATGACCAACAGCAACCAACAACCAACAGCATAACCAACAACTCGACCAACAACGCGCCCCAGTGCCTAAATATGGAATTCTGTTTGCTATTTCCCGTGGAGAACCGCAAACTGGTGACAAAATTTTCACATGCTAAAAATACATCCATACATGCCCCGATTCCATCTAAGCTGGCGCGTTGCACCTTGCGCTGCCACACTTGATGATCACTAAAGCAGACATTGCTCTAGGATACTTCTTCCGTTTTCTGCTTAGAAGGAACCGCAATTCTCTTACTGTGTGCATTAGCGGAGGAGTTGCCTTCTCCTTCTTCCATCCGCCCTACATTATAGCCTATCCTCATTGGCAACTAGAGCTATACCTCGAGCAACATTTCGAAGCAACATTTCCCTCTATTCCCCTTTAGCGGTAGTGTAATGGATTTTTTTTCTACACTTGTCTTCCTGAAGCTGGTGTAGTGATGCTTAAAATAAGTTGGGCTAAGATCAAGTCTTCATCTCTCGATATGCTATGGCTATAGATAAAAACTACAAATCCTAAATCTCCAATCCAAAACGGCACGTTCAACAAACTTGTCATAGGAAATTTCATCACTGCTCTCAGATCTAGGTCTCTGTCAATTACCGTACCGCCTCCAGCTGGTTTTATTACTTCCCTTCCTTTCTTTTTCTTCAATTTACATGCTATTCTTAGAGGACTTACCATCATGGTGTTGGTAAAACATCTTTGTTTTTCAACTCTTCCACTTTTACTTGCTGTTTCCGGAACCAGTATTGGAGCCTCGCATTTCTCAAGTGACATATCCCGATCCAAGCTCAACAACCGAGATGAGCATGCCTATATTGGCACCCGCGATGATGAAGTCGATCTTGGGCTACGCGTGGATAGTGGAGATGACATATCCCTTCAACTGCGTAGGCCAATGAGACGAGAGCGGTTCGGAAAGCGGGCAGCAAAGGGCCCAGCGAAGCCTGCTCTTGCTCCCAAGAAAGCCGCTGCTACTAAGAAGGCCACTACTCCTAAGAGAGCTGCTACTCCCAAGAAGCCTGCCGCTCCCAAGAAGCCTGCCGCTCCCAAGAAGCCTGCCGCTCCTAAGAAGCCTGCTACTCCTAAGAAAGCTGCTCCTAAGAAAGCTGCTCCCAAGAAGCCTGCTACTCCTAAGAAAGCTGCTCCCAAGAAAGCTGCTCCCAAGAAGGCCACCACTCCCAAGAAGGCCACCACTCCCAAGAAGGCCACCACTCCCAAGAAGGCCACCACTCCCAAGAAGGCCACCACTCCCAAGAAGGCCACCACTCCCAAGAAGGCCACCACTCCCAAGAAGGCCACCACTCCCAAGAAGGCTGCTATTCCCAAGAAAGCTGTTGCTACTAAGAAGGCCACTACTCCCAAGAAAGCTGCTGCTCCCAGGAGGGCTGCTTCAAAGAAAGCTACTGGTATCAAGACGCCTATCGATTCCAAGAAGGCGGCAGGTCACAAGGCTGCTTCTCCTAAGAAGTTCGCGGTAAAGACTCATGCCAAGAAAGTCGGTCCTAAGAAGGCTGCCGGTCCTAAGAAGGCTGCCGGTCATAAGAAGGCTGCCGCTCCCAAGAAAGCCGCTACCCCTAAGAAGACAGTAGCTTCTAAGAAGGGTACAGGTCGAGAGAAAGCTGCAGCAAAGAAGGCTTCAACTAAGACTGGCACCAAGAAGTCTAATGCCAAGAAGGCTCCGGCCAGGAAGGTCGGCACCAAGAAGTCTGCTACTAAGGGTGTTGGCAAGAAGAGTTCTGGGAACAAGCATTCCGGAAAGAAGTTGCCTGGAAAAAAGACGCCCGGAAATAAGAAGCATGGAAAGAAGCATCCCGGAAAGAAATCACCTGGAAAGAAGAGTTCTCTTAAAGCCAATGGCGCCAAGAACCCTTCTCCTAAGCAGACTCCTGCTAGGATTGCTTCCAAGTCGGTCGATTCCACCAAACCGAACCCGACCACTCAGCACTGTAAGCGAGGCCCGGGTGGGGAGGAGGGGGGAAGCTGCAAGACTCCTAATTCTGGGGGAATTGGAGCAGCGTTTCAAAAGACCAGGAAGGGCATTGAGAAGCTCATGGGAATGGAACAAAACAAAATAGATAAGGCCACGATTGGATACCCAAAGTTGATCGAGCAAAACACAGCCCCTGGGACGCAGGCAGGCCAGAGGAGTGGGCAGCAGAGCGGAGAACAAAGTCTAGAGAGCAAGAAAAGAGTAGTAGACAAGTCCGAGATTGGCAAGCCACAGCCTAAAGAGGGGTCGTCAGCGCCCTTTCTCCAAGTATACAACAAACCCCCTGAGGGGCAGACAGGCGAACGGAGTGGTCAGCAGAGGCAGTCGCACGAATCATCAGGTCAAGAGACAAGCGGATCCATACCCCTTGTAATCGAAGGCTCGCCTTCAGGACAATCGGGTGAGAAGAGTGGGCAGAGGGAGTCACAGAAATCGACAAGCCAGGAGACAAGCGGCTCGATACCAATCATGAAAGCAAACTCGCCTGTAGAACAGGCGAACCGACAAACAATTGGCTCATCGTCAACCGATAGTGGTCCGATATATTTGGAAGATCATTTAGGGAATAAGGTGAATTGAGAACGAACTGCATTGTCAGGGCGGGGGATTCCAGAGGGGCAATCTTTAGGAGGAATAACGCAGGCAGTTCTGATGGACAGGTTGGAACTGTGTGACTACAGGTGGCAGCACATCTGATTTCAGGACGTAGAAAAGGGCTCCCCTGTCCACCCTTTTTCTTTTCCTCTTCTTCTTTTATCTTTTATTCGTCTATTTAGACATGCCAGATAGCCCCTAGAGAAATCCCAGGATATTGCATTAACAGAGAGCGTATTGCCATTGAGGATATACATCAATTTTCGACTTGTAGTCTTGCCATGATAAATAGATTACCCTTGCTGCACCTATTTTAGAGATCCTTCTTGAACGCATGCTCCGGCTTATGAGTAGTCTCGTAGTCAATGTGAACATATGCCCGCTCGATATCCGGCAAGCTCTCAAGCTTAAACTGCAGGGCTTCAGCAACGTCATGGGTAGTCATCAACGTGCCTGTCGGGTCCATGACGATGTCAACTTCGGCAATCAACCGCGGGCCGGAGTGATAGACACGGACAGTGTCGATGCCCTGGATCGCGTCCGAGTGGGTCAGGCAGACGTAGGTGATGAGCTGCTGCATGTCGACGGACGAGGCAACCCCGACCAACAGGAGGAACTCGCCAAATGCCGTGTGCAGCCAGATGCACGAGATGAGGACGGACAGGATGATGGCGCCCATGGGGTCGATCCACCAGACCAGCTTGGCACCACCGACAGATGTGAGAACACCAAAGCCGTTGATGAGCAAGTCGTTTCGGTGGTCCTGCCAGAGAATGTTGACCTGGCTGTATTTGTCCTTGATGGCCCAGCAGTAGAAGAACAAAGAAAGCTTGGTGCCAAATGCGATGCACACGGCAATCACCGAAGGAAGGAAGAACTTCTTGTCGTCCTTCTTCATCACAAGTTCCTGGCAGGCAAAAGCAATGATAATGAGAGACACGGCGATCATGAGAAAACAGAAGACGATGTTTCCTACAGTCTCCAGGCGTGCCTTGCCCGCGGGGAAGCGACGCGGGTCGACGCGGGCGACGGCCCGGTTGGACAGAATGAGTGTAAGGTTACTCAGAGGGTCGAAGACGGAATCGGCCATGGTTGTGAACAGCGACAGGGAGCCTGACGAGATGGCAGCATACAGCTGCAGCGCCGAGAGGACAACATTGGCAGCAAAGGATCCCCAGACGGCAATCTGGAACTTGAGCTGGTCGTCACCAGCCTCCTGGCGAGCCTCTTCCCGGTGCTCTTCCACCGACTTGAGCATACGTTCAATGGCGGCATTCTGATTCTCATAAAAGCCCTGGACTTTGCGGGCCTTGCTCTTAGCACCGATGCTGGGGGCACACTGGTCGCGGCCACTGTCCCTCTTACGGGACGTGTTGGCTTTAATCTTGGCCAGGTCGCCCTCGGTCTTGTAGGCTAGCGAAAGGCCATAGGGATCGTTTTCAAGGTTCACGTGAGGGAAGCCTGAGTTGCGACCAGCCGTGATTTGAGACTCCACATCCTTGGATGCGCCACCATGGCGAGAGACAGGATGGTCGTGCCCTGCCTCCTGTCCAACAGGCTCGACACCGGTGCTCTCCGAGATGTCGTGGGGGGCGTGAGAGGATCGGCTGCGGCTGCGGCTACCGTGATCTTGATGCTGGATATTGTAGATGTTGGGGTGATAGGTGATGGTGTTGCTCCCGTCGGGTATCATCTTGCTGAGTAGAGAGTCGTCGCAGATATCACAATAAGTAACTGTTTCGAATTTGTTCTCGTGAAGCTCCCAAAGCTCCAGATCAAAGATAAAGAAGGATGGGAGTCGGCGCCAAGGCTCACTGTATCACAAGAGGGGGTGGGTTAAGGAGGCAAGGAAGAAAGCAGGTGAGAGAATGAGGGCCAGTGAGCGAATTGGCAAAACCTGTAGAGTAAGAAATGCGGAGAGATCATCGGCGCTTCTCGATCAATTGGAGAGATGGACATGAATTGTGTGTGATTGGCTGGCAGTTGGGGTAGAGCAGCGGTTCGTCTCCTCCCTCGTCTTCTCTGCAATTGATGCACGTGGGCACTCGCTGGGGTTTGGTGTCAGGGTGCAGACAGCTAAGGCAGGGAGATGGGACAAGGCGATCACGGTGCTGGTCATCTCAATCGCGCCTTGAGCCAAGGTTTGAGGGGGGAAATTGAAATGACCTGTCTTGGTGTTCGTGGGACCATGGGCCAGTATTAATTGCGAGTGAATCACATCTAGAATGAGCCGCGCCTGTCTTTGCGGCGTACCTACTGAGGGTACAGGAAGTAAAAGCCAAGCCGATCAGCCGTGAAGATACAGGGGACTCGGTTGTGCTGAGCCGAAGCTATCCCTCCATGGCTCTTTGAGCGCTGACGTGACACCACGTCGGGAAGGCAGAACAGTCCCGTATCAGGCCAGGCAACGTCATAGCGACGTGTTGAAGGGTGCAAGCATGGCTGAGTTTCTTTATCCCTTAGAAAGAGTAGGTACCCTTGGAAAGGGCGCAAGGGGCTATTCCAGGACTCATAGCATGTTGTGCTAGGACTATGCGAGGCCAGCGCAGTGATGCCGTCGAGATTGGATTAAGGTTGGCAACGTTCGGGAAGACCCTGCATTGGTTTGGAATTATTTATAGGGCGGCTGAGCCAAGGAATGATTAATATCATTTCTCTCATTTGTACGAACCGTCAAGGTGCAGGCCGCGTTAAACGGTCGGGTGTGACCGGAGAGCCAGATCCTGAATGGCCAATTCAGTTGACCCACCCTATAGACACATCATTTTCTTGGCTATATGCCGCCTTTTATTCCCCAACGGGACTGGGCAGCCATGGCGATTTCTCTTTTATATCAGAAATCACTATGCATGGTCGGTGCATAATCCAAAACAAACCTATAATGGGAACACAGGCTGCTGGGTGGTGTGGTGGTGTAGTGTGATGTGACAGGATTTAATCTGAGATGCAAAGAACAATTACACAGCCTGGTAGTAAACCTATAGCTTAACCAAATACCCATCCTGATCAACACAACAAATTAGATATATTGATCTATACCCGCAAAGAATGCACAAACCACAAAGAACTATTATCAGTAAAGAGGTATCAAAATCCGAAGCGTCCCCAGCAGCGTCTCTCTACAGCTTTGCCTCAACGGGCTTGCCCTCCTCACTCTTCTCCAGAATCCAAGCAATCATGTCCTTGCCGTACTGCTCCTTGCACAGATCCGCATGCAGCTGGTGGTAACCCCCCTCGTACTTCACAAACGTCTTATCTTCAAGCCCCTTCTGGGCCTCGAACCACTTCTTGGCAGAGTCGTAGCTGCACACCTTGTCATCAGTCCCGTGGGCGAGCCACAGGCTGCGCACCTCCTTACCGACCGGCACCGTCCCGGACATCAGAACGGCCGTCCGGTCCAGTATCCCGGCCATGGCCTCGAGGGTCCCGGTGTCGTGGCACATGGGGTCCTTCTTGATGGACTCGACCACCTCCGGCACCCGGCTCAGGTACTCGGGCGGGGGCGAGAACTTGAGCTGCCCGTGCGGGAACCACCTCCCCGCGAGCCGGCCGAAGAAGACCTTGAGGAAGCTGGGCTCCTGGCTGGGCACGAAGCCGATGAAGGGGCACTCGAGCAGCCACCCGCGCACCTGGCCGACCAGCTCCGCGTACTGCGGGTCGCCGATCAGCGTGCACACCTCGCCGCCGCCCATCGAGTGGCCCATGACGAACAAGGGCGCCTTGCCCTCCCTCGCGCCGAGTTTGGCCTTGACGAACGCCGCGACGTCGGCTATGACCTGCGTCGTGGGACCCGAGTTGCCCCAGTCGGCCTTCTTGGGCGACGTGTGGCCCCAGCCGCGCTGGTCCCACGCGAACACCTGGATGCCTTGCTCGGCCACGGTGGCAAAGAAGTCATTGTACCTGTTGATGTGCTCGCTGAAGCCGTGGACAAACACCAGGTGGGCTCTGATGGGCCCGGATGGCTGGTGAGGGTCAATCAATCAATCGTCAGCGGCGCGCGGGAGAGACGCCAAGGCACACGGCAGGAGCCATACTCACCGTCCATGTCTTTGTGTACGCCTTCACGCCGCCCTGCAGCTCAAACTGGCCTTCGGTGGTGGTTGACATACTGCCTGCACATTCCGATCAGCGCCCAACCAAATAACATGCTCGGAACCAACAGGCTCCACTTGCGATGGCCCCCAACACGGGGTTGCTACGAACCAACGGTTTTCTGCCTGCGAGCCGGTATATCTTGCTGGGTTGGGCTGTCGCAGATTGTAGAGGGGTCTTTGGTGTGAGATGCAGTAGATACGCGATAGATGAATCCCCTTCTTTCTGGGGGAAGGGGGGAAGGCCTAGAAGCCGAGGTGGCTTGTTCAGCTGGACCATTTCTTATAGGTCAATAGCGAACCTGGTAATTGCCCACACCCTTTTTCCGGAGGCGTCGGTCTCCATCTTCTCCAAGAATCTGCGATCCCTCTCTAGGCCTTATTGGGTAGTCACAAGCCATGACTTGGATTGGGGCATCTATTAATGCAATCGACCCTGGCAGTCGCCCCTGTTATGCGAATTATGCCGAGCTACGTGGTATTTTTGTCAGATTCTCTTTTGTTGCTGGCATTGATGCCGAGGCATCTTCCACTCAATAATTGCGGACGAATACGTTGTCCCATTGCTCCCTACTTGCTGGTGATACATGTAGATGAGATTATGCACAATGCTAACAGACGAGATCCAGTCCAGCATGCAATGCCGCATGAGTCTTGTCTCTTTCTTTTTTTTCGAGTGGAGTTCTCCCACCGGGATGCTCAGATGTAAATAACTGCGGTTGTGGGAGCTGACGTAGCTCACCTAATGTACACGAAGCCTGTCTGTCCCGACGGTCTTGTCCTATCAGTGTGGAATACATGAAAGCGTGAAGGACTGGTTCTCTCAGATATGCAAGAGAAAAATCCATTTAAAAAGCAAACATTACTATCCCATCTCTAACCGCTTTGTCCCCAAACTCCATGGTCTCCTCCTCTGTGAGGCTGGACATAATTTTTTTGGGCACCTAGGGCCGCCTGGTGCTTTCCGTTGACTTCTCGTCAACTTCATCTCGGTTCGACTCTTCCGCATCCTCTCTCTCTTGGAGATCCTGCTCAATCTCCTCGAACTCTGTGATGTGTGAGTTGGAGTCGCTGCTTCTCTTCTCAGGGATCTCGCCTCCGCTCATCTGCCACTCCATCAACTTGCTGAATGCACTCTCTGGGTTGGCGGCAAGCTCGGGGTAGCTGCCGATCTCGGCCACCTTTCCTTCGTTGTTGAGAACGATGATCTGGTCGGACCTCTTGATGGTAGAAAGTCGGTGAGCAATGGAGATGGTGGTGTTGCGCCCACGGAGCAGGCCGGCAAGTGCCTCATTCACAAGGGTCTCGGACTCGGCGTCCAGTGCTGAAGTTGCTTCGTCCAGCACCAGAATATCGGGATCCTTGAGAAGGGCCCGAGCGATCGCGATGCGCTGCTTCTGGCCACCAGATAGCTGTGATCCCCTGGCACCGACCTGAGTCTCTAAGCCATCAGGGAGGTCGCTGATGAAGTTGCAGTTGGCTCTCCTTGCGGCTGTGATGATCTCCATCCGTGTCGCCCGAGGATTACCGTAGGATATGTTGTCCGCAATTGTACCGGAGAAAAGCACGGGCTCCTGTGAAACCATTCCGATGCGTCGTCTTAGCGACTTGACATTCATCGTCGAAATGTCTACGCCATTGATACTGATGGTTCCGCCTATCGGGTTGTAGAATCGTAGCAAGAGGGATGCCACAGTAGACTTGCCACCTCCGGACGGTCCAACAACGCAAACATTGCTTCCCGATGGGATCTCGAAGTCGAGGCCGTTGAAAATCCGGACAGCCGGGCGTGTTGGGTAGGCAAAGCTCACGTTGCTGAACCGGATAGGACCTTGGGCAGACTTCACAGGAACACCAGTGGTTTGATGAATTCCAGGCTTGCGATCCTGCAGCTCAAACAGTCGGCTTGCGGCGCCCACACCCTTCATCAATTCCGAGTAGAATCCGGACAAGCCAAACAAGCTGGAGCCGGCAAAAGCCGTGTACATCATGTATGATGTCAGGTCTCCCAGTGACATCTCTCCAGTCCTGACCAGGTTGCCTCCTACCATCAACATGGCGAGGATGGTCATGTTACCGGCCCAACCAGTTGAAGCAAAGAATGTAGCAGAGATCAAGGATTCCTTTCGGCCCAGAGCAAAGATTCGGCGAATCTGCCTGTTGTAGCGGCCGACCTCCTGGACCTCGCCAACAAAGGCCTGACTTGTCTTGATGTTGCCCAGCCGTTCCTCGGCAATCTTGGTAAGGGTTCCTAGGTTTTTCTGTATCGAGCGACTGACATTGCGAATTGTTCTACCGTAGAAGAAGGCGCCAATTGCGATTGGCGGGAACATGAGACACAGCATACCGGTGAGCTTAGCACTGGTCCAGACCATGATGGCAAAACCAGCACCACCACTGAATAGGGCCCTCAGACCATCGCTGAGATTCTGTGTAACGGATTTACCCACAATAACAGTATCAGAACTTAGTCGCGAGATCAAGTCACCCACACGGTTTGCGTCGAAGAACTCGGCATCTTGGACATAGGTTCGTCGGTAGAGCTGGGATCTAAGTCTGGCGACAACTCGTTCGCCCACAATACGCAGAATCACCACTCGGCCAAAGGTGGACATGGCACCAAGCGTGAGGATTGTTCCGAGACCGATGAAGAATTGGTTGAGAGTAAGGCCGAAAAGTTTGATGTCCTCAGACTCGCCCTTTGTGGCCACGTCCAAGATTCGACCAACAGTGAACGGAATGGCCATCGAAACACTTGACGAAAAAACCAGAAAGACGAGAGCAATCGCGAGCCATCGTAATTCTGGCCGAGCAACCTTGATCAGTCTCCAGATCTCATCGAAGCCGGCCTGGCTCTGCATTTTCCCCTCTTTGGATAATTTGGCGCTGAGGTTAAGCTGGGCCGCCTTGGTCGCTTTTTCGCTCTTCTCAAATTCATGGGGCTCTTCCTTCTTTTCCTTGGACTCTGCCTCTTCAACCTTCTCCACCACTTCTTCTGTCTTAGAAGGCGCCTGTTTTTGGAGCCTAGGAACAGCCGAGAAAGACCGCCAAGTTTCAGAATACAAGCCAGATCGATGGAGTAAGCCGGGGTTTGCGGTGAGTGCTGAAGACGGTCTGGAGGTTTGCTGTTGGAGGGAAGCCCGGAAGGCTGCTACCGAGAAGGAGGGGAGCGCCGGTCGCTGCGGCGATGTCGGTGATGACGACGAAGCATGGTATTGCCTTAGAGGAAGGCTCGAAGACCCGAAACAGGGTCGCGAAAGTGTCGTCGAGCTCTCAATCGACCGGGGGAGCAGCGCCCGTCGCACTGCTCCCGAAAACATGGTGGAGGCTTGGGAGGAGGAAGAAAAAATTAAGAAAAGGCCGACGGCTCAGCGCGGCATGGTCGGGGGGGGGAAGGTGATGAGGAGCGAATCCTTTGGATTGAAAGGAGGTATTAAACCGAATCTGTCGTGGCGAGAGAAGAAGATCACTCCGTCATCATCGCGACATTCCGATGACGGTGCGGTTGGTAAAGTGCGAGCAGCTGGATGCAAGGCGAGCGCTTTAATTATGTAGAGTGCCTTCACTTACCACTACTAACGGACTTGGGAAGCTTAGTGAAATTTTGGTGGAGCTCAATTCTCCGAAGGCCCTCGGTGCTTGATCGGCTCTAAGGCGGATGGGCTGTCTGTATGTATGTAATGATGTCGCCATGCTCTAGCGCTCGGCATCGCTAAGGTTTGGGTGGCTTTTCGCTGCGAAAATTAACGAGCAAGACAAGGAAACGTGAATGAACATGGGAACAGCGGTTCAACCGAATGTTATCAGACCAATCCTTTCGGCACTCGCTGATAGTCTGGTGGTGTTGTCCCAACTTACAGGGAGGGCATCTTTATCGATAGCGCGAGTCACAGGCACGGCATGAGATGAGCTTTGGGAATTGCATGCAATTGCGTAGGTAGTATTCTCTCGCTAACAGACCTGTGAAATTACCTACCTATGGATATCGTACCTATGAATGCCCTCCGTTCGCCATGATTGAGATGGAAATCTCATGAACCACCAATATCAGTTCTGCAACGTAAAAAGAGTACATGCTCGGTTATCCTGACCGGCAGCCACAACCGTCCCCCCTCATCTCTCGATTCTCAAATGGAGAGAAAATAGGTTCTTAAGATGACCAAATACTGTCCCAGTTAGATCCCATATATCACTACATGTGGGCGAATGTTATTGTACAATGGCACTAGCCGCATGCTACTATTGCCTGTGGCTGCAGATTCACCCTTCAACATCTCGAGGCGGCGGACTCATTATTTCAACATTTCGGCAACATCAGCATCAATCCCATCGTCGTTACCCAAGTCGGGAAATTCGCCGTCGTCGTCGATACGCCGCCTCTTGTTGGACTCGCTGAAGTAAATGGGGAGACTCTGCCGGGGAATGGTAGTAGTCGAAGCTGGTGCGGTCTCCAGACTGGAATCGGCATGAACAGGTGCCGCTTCAGCTGAGGGAGGGGTCAGAGCCTCCATAGCTGGGGGCGTAAGGGCTTCCATCTTTGGGGGCGTGAGGGCTTCCATCTTTGGGGGCGTGAGGGCTTCCATCTTTGGCCTCTCTGGCTCGGTAGATTCGTTGTCCAGTCCCGTTTCATCTGGGGATCCATTTTGCTCGCCAGAGCCCAAGGCCTGCATAATTGCCAATTCCACCACCTGCTTCTTTTCCTCGATTTCTGATTTGCGCTTGGCCAGTCTGCTGGCAGAAGCCTTGTCTGCCTCGAGTGATGTGCGGTGCGTGTCCAAGAGCTTTTCCAGACCCGAGATAAGGCCTTCTCGTGCCTTCACACATTCCGCCACGGCAACCTCCGCACTTGCCAAAGTCTTGAGGAGACCATGAAGACGAGCGGCATAGACTGGCGCAGATGGAGCAGGTGTTGAAGTATCTGTTTGCTTCTCATACTCCTGGTCTGCTGCGGAAACGGTGCCCTTGAGCGGGCCACTCAATTTGGCAACTGACTGATGCGCAGAAATCAATGGCGCGAATTCTGAAGGCATAGACGATCCTCCAAATGGCGAGCCTCCAAACGCTGGCTTGGCAGTGCCTCTAGCCTTGTCAAGTTCTGTGTGCTGATCAGTCACCTCTATTCCGTACTGTGAAATCTTTGGAGTGGAGCCTACCTCCAAGGCGAGAATCAATCGCCTCTTGAATGGGCGCCTCGAAAATCGTCCTGTCCTTCCATACATCCACGACCCTCCTTATCTTCCCTTGGAGTTCCGAAGGTGCACCTTTGTAGGCAATCGCTGTTGCTTCCGCAATAACGGGGGAGAATGCCAAGATAAAATCTTCTTTGTGGCGAATTCGTGATTGCTGAGCGACCTCTTGGAGCGCATATATGTTAGATAAATAATGGAGCGCTGTTTGAGGGGTGCTTTGAATAACAAAAGGGCAATGCAAGTTGCAGATTCTACAGGTCCAAACATACCGTTTGCAAGGTAAACGAGACTGAGGCGCTTTGAAGCTGAGGAGTCTCTCAGACGTTGCACCCACAGTTGCACTGTACGGTCTGCATGTCTCCTGTGGGATGGATCAGTATTTGGATCAGACGTTGGGTAGTTGGGAAAATCACCTGTGAAACATGATCCATTGTGCTGCAGTAGCGATGCTGTCATGGCTGTCATTTAAGGCTGAGAGCCTTGCCAGCACGGCATCATCGTTGTAGGCCATGTTTACACTTTCTGGCCTGAGCCTATCACGTGTGCAGCCGAGTGAGATTGGGAGAGCAATTGGCCCTCTCTTGATGAACGCTGATAGATGAAACAGACCGCGACAACCCTCGACTAGCAGAGAGAGCCAATGGATCCTCTGCGCATATGACCAGGCTGACTACAGTTACTCGCAGGAAGTGGAAGCTTCTGATATGCGGTTGGATTCGCGGCAGGAATCTGAACCCTCTCAACCGTTCAAGGCCCCGAGGACCAGTAATCTAGAGATAGGGGTATACTATGAAGTACGTTTGAGCAGATTGACTGCGACGACCTTTGGGCGAGGGGATCGAGAATGTTGCAAAAGTTGATGGGACTAGAGGAAAGCAAGCTTGTTGATGTACACGCAGGTGTAGGGAGCTAATGTGGATACCTGCATTTGAGACACTTGCATTATACCTGATAACTCAATAATCTCTCCTAGTGCGGTCGCTAGTGGGCCTGACACCGCCCGGCAGTTCCACCCAGCAGCGCCAGAAACCTTACCTAAGTAAGGAGCCGTGACGACTGATGAACCAACCTCATCAACTTTGTGAAAGCTGTCTTCTTGTTGTCCTTGTCTACCTCATCCACCACACGATCCGTTCTCCCTCGAGCGCATTTTCGCAGATCACGCATAGCTGGTTATTCTTGCTCTCACCATGGCCGACCGATTTCCATCGCTTGAAGACTTCGATTCAGGAGGTAAGTAGCGGCAACCGCAGGACAGGTTTGGCTTTCGCGGAACTGATGTTTTGGGTATAGCACAGCCAGATATCAAGAACCCCTCGGCGGAGCCTTCGGCCGATGATTTCCTAGCTCGCGAAAAGGCTCTTCTCGGTGACGATGCCGACCAGTTTGCAACTGCTCAGGATGCGTCTGCCTTGGGAGACGGTGGCGACCTGCTAGGCGAAGGCGGAAACATCGACTCGACGTTCGAATCACAGTTCCCAGATCTGTCAAACCCTGTAGCGGTGAGTTCCAGGCGAGATTGTGCGGTATTTGTGATATGCGACTGATGGGTTCGTGCAGGGCACCGGAATCACCCCAGGCAACACCGTTACTGGTCCTTCCGTCAGCTACAACTCAGGATTCCAGACCACCGTTGACGACGAGGAGGAGCCCGACGTTATCAAGGAGTGGCGCGAGCGCCGCGATGCTCAGATCCAAAAGCGAGCTGAGCAGCTCGCCGCTCAACGAGAGGAGACCATCAAGGAAGCCCAGTCCAACATCGATGACTTCTACAACAACTACAACGCCAAGAAGGAGAAGGAGATCGCCCAGACCCGTAAAGAAGCGGAGCAGTTCCTTGCTAACATTGATGATACCGTCTCTGGAGGAACAAGCTGGGATCGTATCGCTAAGCTTGTCGACGTCAGCGGGAAGGGCGCTAAGGGCGGTGCTTCTGGATCCGGCAAGGAGCGCTTCCGCGAGGTACTGATGGGTTTACGGAAAGACGAGAAGGCGCCTGGAGCTACGGGCTACTAGGATTTACGATGACAAGGAGATTGCCATCTGATGAGCTGGGGCTTTAGAGATTGGCTTTGCAATCATTGATTGCTGAAACCTCATCCACCTTTTTTAATGTATTGTAGAAACAACATATGGGAGTCAAGGTCGCGTTGCAACTCGTTGCTGATGCAGGTGTGATACAAAAGGAATAGGTTGTATTGAACGTGTGTTACAGGACTCAACTGAGCCATATGGCTGTTTGTGCTATCTGATTGAGTTCTCTCTATCGTATTCCTTGGCCCAGGAGCTTCTAGTAGAGGGTCCCTTAGTTGGGGCCGAACCAGGTGTTGTAGCCGGCGACCTTGCGACCACCAGCGTAGAGGGAGGCTGCGTTTGTTAGAACCAACTCTTGCATCATTTTCTGGGCGTTGGGGGTCTTAACGAACCGCCGAGGGATCCCCAGAGGAGGACGACGTAGGGAGCCAGCATCCAGCGGCTGCGGTGGCCCTATCTCCAGTTAGTCGCTAGTTCCTTCGCACCGATCGTTGGTTACGCATCGCTCATACAATCAACCAGAGACGGGTGTGGGCCCTGTAGGCATTCTGGTAAAAGCGCTGGTGCTGAGGCACCGAGTTCTTGGCGTTGACGAGGCTGTGATGGTGTGAGTTAGCTATGATGAGCAAGACGGTTCGGGTGCAGTCGGAATGGCCAATTGACGTTGTGCGAGGCGACAGGATAGTGAAATCAATTGGGTTCGTAGATGAGAAGGAACGTACGCCATTTTGACGGTATTGAGAGCGTCGATTGGGACTTGATCGGTTCTGGTTCGGGTAGTCGTTTGTCAATTGGAGAGGGTTCGTCTTGGAATGAGGCCATAATGTGGACGGGCTTTGCATTTGCTCTGGTCCGGATGACTCAGCACCCGAACACAGCACGTGCACCCGCGCCAAGAAATGCCACCCGAAATAATTCTGCAGGGAAGCTTGTTCAATTGGCACCAATTCCTACGTAACTCGATTTTCAGTTTCGCCGGCGGTCGTTGGAGAGACCCTTGCAACGGCTTGAGACAATAGCATCGATGCGCCCACCGGCGGGCTAACGCTACCTGGATTCATGTCATAGGCAGCTTGATTATGCCGGGCATTTTCCAGCAGATGGGACATTGCTGTTACACCAAAGGAGTACCTTCCATCTCCTTCAGGTCTGCCTATGGCTCAAGCTCATCTGCTATCGCAAGTCGACAACTTCCGTTCCAACAACTCAACTACAATGCGAGACAGCGACCACGAAGAGGCTATTGCCAAGTTGCACTGAACTCTGGATGTCGTGCTCAGTCAGCTGAGGCTCGATGGTTTTCAAATTGCCAACCAAGTGCTGGGAGACGACGAGGAAACAACGCATCGAGACGGATCAATGGACGACGCTGCCTTTCATCTGCGTATGGCCTGAAAGATGATCCGGAAGAATTGCGAGGTAGGCATGAAGTGACAGAGCGCTCTTTGAAAGCCATTCAGGATTCTTCGGCACAAGACCTTTCGAACTGGAGAAGTGCTTTTCAAAGCGTGCAAACAAAACATGGAATGGACGGCGTTTGGGAATGTTTCGAGTTACTCCTGCAACAGAACCAGCTTCACCAACTACTTCTCCCTGATGCCGAAGATTTGCGGGATGATATCATTGAGGCAGCCGTTGTCGACGACAGACGAATCGAGAAGATCATCGAGGTTGATCGAAAGCTATCGGCTTTCGGATATTCTGGATGGCCCGACCTGTATGTCAAAACCATGTATTTTCTGGTCAAGAAAGGAGATGCCCAAAGGATGATGGTCTGGCATCGCCGTCTCCTGGAGATTGACCCCCCGGGTCCAGACGAAATTGCTGGATTATTTTCAAGCTTGGTACAGAACTCTCATTGGCGCATTCAAGAATGCTTAGGAAAACTGTATGCCTCTGGGTTGGAGCGCCAGCTCTATGATTTCATTATCCCGGCACTGTTTGATGCCGGCCAACTGAAGTTGGCTCTGAACTGGCGAAAATTGTTCATTCAGCAGAAAGACTTCCCGTTAGCATCGAGATCGAGGCCATTCATAAGATTTCTCAAGCGCTGCTATCCGACGATAGAACTCACCAAAGAGGAATCTTTCATCATAAGTCGTCCCCTCTCATCCGAGACGCTTGACGAACCCCCTATAGCAGCTGACACATCTACATTTCAACCGGCTCTTCGTCGTGATGGACTGGTCGCAAAGTGGTTTGCAAGTACCTGGGTATCTATTGAATTTGCGATTAATTTGGTGTATCGGCTTGGCATTGAAGCTGTGGGAGCTAGGTCACTGCAAGCTCTGACCTTGCGTGAATCCACCTCTGAGCTTGTCCTGGTCCGCCTGCAGCATCTTGAAAGGCTTGGTATCCGAATATCACCACAGGTGTATTGCCATGCTCTTACCTACTTTGCTCGGACAGGCAATGATCCTCTGCTCCGCAATTTAGCAACGTGCGATATTCATCCCGACGAGTTTGATAATCCAAAGAAAAGGCGGACGTTGCGAGAATATGCTGCCCAACAAGGAGATATGGAACGTGTGGCATTATTACGGGCTGTCGAGATGGCAATTGAGAACCAACCGTCTCACCATGAACTGAACCGCATATTGAGGCGCATTCTTTACGGAAGACATCTTGGAAAGGCCAAAATCGTGTTGGACCGCATGAACGCCCTGCAGGTCAGCATCACGGAGGATAATGCACAGCGGTTGCTGGGCCGAGTGTTCTGGGGTCTGGGAAATCACCCCAAGAGATGGAGCATCCGAGTTCCAAACAATGCAGAGCAACGAGTGGACCCCCTCGACCGGGCAATTCGCATTGTCCGCCAACTGCGCTATCATAACATTCCCATCCCTATTGGGTATTGGAAAACCCTATTTTACAACCTGGGTCGCACTGGTCGTTTTGATGAGCTTGAACAACTTATGATCGAGTTTGTTCAACTGTTCAGACCTCCTACACCTCGGCTGATACCGATCTGGGATCATTGGCTTGAAACCAGCACCGAGAAACAATACATACCGTCAGGCTTGGCATTTACACATCGCCAACACCCCGTCCAGGAAGTTTTCGATGGCCCGATGCAACGCTCCATTTTGAGATGGGGCTTTGACCATGCAATCCAAAGAATGCCCAATAGAAGGTTCTTTGAGAGAACGAGACCAAGCGATTTCGATATTGCATGTGGCGTGCGGATGTTGGGCTCACTTAGAGACCAAGGGGTCCTGATAGAAAAAGATATGATATCTTCTCAGGTTCCTCTTCGCATTAGCAAAGCCATTGCAGCCGGGAAGACACACAGGTCAAGAGACAGCAAGGAGCTGTCACATGATCATGTGAGAGAGTTGTTCCAAGAGGCCTGGGGCTCGGATCTTCTCGAAAAAATGCCTCCGCTAGGGAAAACGCTCAAGAGTAGGCGGACTGGCAGAGCAAATATTGGTTTGCGCCTCAACCAGTGGGTCGATGACGACAAGGAGTGGAAACACCTTTTCAGAGACGGAAAATAATCGTAATATATACAACCAAGAGGCACAAACCACTATAGCTATAGTAGGTCGTGTTTTCTAGAACCTAAAGCGTTCTAGCGAGTAAATATTGTCTATAGAATAAGTACATACATGATTAAACAAGAAAAAAAGAAACACCGAGACTCCTATTTTACGCCATTGGGTGCTCCCCCTGATTGTACATCAATTGATAAATGTGAGTATCAAAAGCTCTAAATAGCCCCTGCGGCCAATAGGCATTCTCTTAACGTTTTTTCTTGGGCTTGACCAGAAGAAGGATGAAGAGACCGGCGATAATTATGATCAAAAGAAGGATGATCTTGCGCTTTGTCGTCTGCCGTTGGTATCCGGACGCGGCCTTGATTTCGACGTCGGCTGCTTTAACGTCCGTATTCATTCTCTCAACGTTGTAATCTATTCTATCGAGCATGGTTCCTTGATCAATGACCATGGTCTGTAGATCCCGGAACAGATCCGAGAGCTCGATGATACCCTGTGCGATATCCTCAATCTCACGCTCTCGTTGAGCGATGACGGCATCATTGGAATGAAGCATCCGTTGTTGAGTAGCCTGGAGTAGGGTGGATTGCGAAAATGAGCGGTCCGCATCAGAATCTTGGAGAGATGGCTCGAAATATGACCCGGGCTGTGGTGTACTGGCGCGCTCTCCTGTCGGCGTGCTGAAGCCGCCCATTCCACGAAGCTCTGAACAAGGTCAGTCATGATATACGCTATAGAGGATAAGTGGCAAAGGACTTACTCTTGAGGTATGCGCTCTGTTTCTTTCTAAAGTTTGAACTGGCATCCTGGACCCTGGTCGCCAAGGAGATCTGTATATTCTTCGCCATTGTCTCCTCGGCACTGGTGATGGTCCCCGTGTGTTTCGACTCGCGGACCATCTGTTCCACCTTCTGGATGCAAGCGTGGCATTTGTGGAAGCTCTTTGTGATGTCCTGGGTGAGCCTCTCGATCTGGGCCTCCTCTGCCCTTTTGGCGTCGTCATCGTCGAACCCCGGGAGCACATGCTTTTGATGAAGCTTATCGAGGCCGTGGCCTTTCGTCGCGATGTCGGCAAGTATTTCGGTAATCTCGTCTGTCACGTCTGCCCAGCGAGGTGGCAGCACGTCCATCTCAATCACGGCGTCGCCATCGTCCTGGAAAGCCGCCAGGAGACCTCGGTGGTCCTCGGGCGCATCGCTTCGGCTGGCAAAGGAATCGCCGTAGCCTTCCGTGTTGCCGGAACTCGAGGCACCTCCGACAGCATACTTAAATCGCTGGGTAGGGTGATGGGCGTATGACTGTCGGTAGGAGATGTAGCTGCCCGGATAGTGGTTAGCAGGACATGATGGAGGAGGTTAAGCGGGAGGAGCATTTACAGATTGGTGCGGTCGCGCCACATGGCGGACGCAGAGGAGGGCTGCGACGAGCCTCAGATTGGCGATTGTCGCTTGTGATGGTTGGGTAATAGATGTTGCGTGTCCAAAAGGTCGTTTGTTGAGAATCTGGATCGTTCGGGGTGAGGTTCGTGCAGTCGCATTATATGAGGCAATCTGACTTCATGGATACTGCTGGCTTCTTTACCTAATAACGGCATATTAGCTTGTCAGGCCCAGGTCAGGGAACTGGAAGCCGGAAACAGGCCTGGAAGTTAGCACGTCAGGTAATTGCACTGTGTTTCCAAGGAGCTAACTAAATCAGAGTACGTGGACGATCCACCTGAGCTTGTGCTGCGGAGGGGACCTGGACAGTGCGAATGAAGCTGCGTCCCAACGCTACGGCTTACTGTATACTTGCTGACCTGTCCTAAAAGCTCGTACCCAGCTTGCCTTACATAAGTCCAAAAAATAGGACCTGCGAGATGCTCCATTCCAGCTGGCGTCAATTGTATAATCTTTGCTATTGGCAGGAGGTGTGTTGTGGTAGCAGCTTTTATCTCGCTAGGTCCCGCCTTATCCAGTCCCCCAGGCTGAAGAAGCTGCAACCCCCGACGCCGCCCCGCCAAATTGTCCTCTCTTCCGACACCTTCACGACCTAACCTTGGAATTTGTGCTTGTCGCAGAACCACCATCCACGGACACCAAACTCCAATTTTCTCGATACCTTTGATAGCACATCATCATGGTATGGATATTTCCCGTCCGCATCCCGGTCTCGATGCCCTCGTGCTCAATCCGAGCGTGCAATAGCACTAGACTGCCCCGCGCATCCCCTTTTGGAGGGGTGACCTCCTTACCGTCTTTGGGGCAGCGTGCAGCTAACATTCGCGCAGGCTGATTCTCTGACTGAAGAGCAGGTCTCCGAGTTCAAGGAGGCCTTCTCCCTGTTTGTGAGTCCCTTTTCAAGCTCTGGCGCCTATATGCTATGACTTGCAGCTAATGCCATTGGCGATCTAGGACAAGGATGGTGATGGTGAGTGCCGGATTCGCAGCGCAGCGCCCCCTCCCAGAAGCACCCATCGCGGTGCTTGGTGGAATCTCCGACAGCCCTGAAACAGAACCTCTTCACCAATAGTGGTTGGAGAGCGCCCATTCACCAGTAACTTACATGTGACGGAAACTGATTCGACTGTTTCCAGGCGAGATCACCACCAAGGAACTGGGAACCGTTATGCGATCCCTGGGTCAGAACCCTTCCGAGTCCGAGCTCCAGGACATGATCAACGAGGTTGATGCCGACAACAACGGCACGATTGACTTCCCCGGTACGACCTGATAGCTCCAAAGAAACGATCTTTTGGACCTGTATGGCTGACAAAGGGGCCCAGAATTCCTGACCATGATGGCACGAAAGATGAAGGACACCGACTCCGAGGAGGAAATTCGTGAAGCTTTCAAGGTTTGTGGATACGATAGGGACGATGCCGTGCTCAAAGCTGACATGAGGCAGGTATTCGACCGTGACAACAATGGCTTCATTTCCGCTGCTGAGCTGCGACACGTTATGACCTCTATCGGTGAGAAGCTCACAGACGATGAGGTTGATGAGATGATTCGGGAGGCTGACCAGGACGGTGATGGACGCATTGACTGTACGGAACGCCTGAAACCCAAGCCCTCCTCACTTGGTTGTTGCTAACTTAATGTTCAGATAACGAATTCGTCCAACTCATGATGCAGAAATAAGGCGATTGAAGTTAGAGAGGCCTCCGAGGGTGCTGCTGTGCAGCATTAGCTGGACCTCGAGCCCGGTCTTGGTCTCGTTATCTTGGTAGTCCTGGGGTTTTCAAGTTTAAATGACATTTGATATCTTCTAGGCCGTCTTTTTGACTCAGCAGGCTTACCGAAGTTGTGAGCGATGTGTGGTAGACCATGTTGTGATGTAGTTAGTGCGGAGAAGCGTGAGGCATGAGGTCTTGGTCTGGGCATTGCTTCGTCTTGCTCTTGTTCCATCTTGACCAACACACGAGGAGTGAAAATGTAATCACTTTAACTAGTTTTTAAAATGTTCCTTTCTTGCCAGGTCATTGTGGTGATTTCGTTTTCCACTTATAAGCCGATAGTACGATAAACCAATGTTCGGATCACAGCTACGGGAGGCATAATAAGTCGTGGTAGGCCAAGTTAAGAACTCAACACGATTAAAGCATGTTTGCACGTGTATTTTTGGCACCTACGCAAGTATGTACCTACCGAAAAAGAACTCAGAGCCATGCTCATATTAGGTTCTGCTAACAACATGCTGTCAGAAAGGTTCAGGAGTGTAATAATCTTGGTGCCTACCGTTGCTTAACCGGTGGCGAAGCTTTTCCGCCCCGGCGCCCCCCCTCCACCTGCTCGCATGGCGCTGTAGCTGGCTGAAACCGCTGGTGGGACACCGACTCACTGGCCAAGCTTCGACATGCAAAGCGGTACGTACCTGATTGGCAACTGAGCCCCACGTTGACATGTGTCCGCCTTCACATCTTACCTCCCGTCCAGACTCCAATCCCTCAGCGTCACCCGCCGCATAGTGTAAGCCATTGTTTGCGTGGCCAGCCATTCGGGACGCCAACGATAGACTTCCGACCGGCAGCTTCTTAGACCAAGCTGCCAATATCACCCCGGTTTCCCCAGCCAGGGTCTACATACCCTCCTCTGCCCCTGGATCAAGAAGCTACCAGGCGATCTAGTCGCCGGGTCCGCCACAACCCGTTTACAATATGAGTTCTCGTATGAGCATCACCCAGCCGAGCGAACACTGGTTTAGGGCCGTGACACTTACGATGAATCCCTCGCAGTAAAACAGTTTATCCGCAATGTGCGCGCAGCTAAGACCATCGCCGACGAACGAGCTGTCATCCAAAAGGAGAGTGCCGCCATTCGAGCCAGCTTTCGAGAAGAATCCCACAACCACACCGTCCGGTAGGTGCTCAGCTTCTGAAATTCCTCCCCATGGGACCGCCATCGTGATACGGCCGGGAAATATACAAGAATGGATGCTGACGGGCGGGGTACAGACGTAACAATGTCGCAAAGCTCCTATATCTCTTCACCCTGGGTGAGCGAACGCACTTTGGACAGATCGAATGTTTGAAGCTGCTGGCATCTCCTCGATTCGCCGACAAACGTTTAGGACACCTGGCCACGAGTTTGCTTCTGGACGAAAATCAAGAAGTACTGACCTTGGTTACAAACTCCTTAAAGAAGTATGGAATAATATCCTAGCCCCCCCCAGCTCCTGAAATGTCATTCGGACACCTGGTTAACTTTAGGATCCCCGCAGTGACCTCGAGCACTCTAATCAGTATGTCGTCGGTCTGGCTCTCTGTACATTGGGAAACATAGCCTCTCTTGAGATGTCTCGTGATCTGTTCTCCGAAGTTGAGGCCCTGCTCGCAACCGCCAACCCTTATATCCGACGAAAGGCAGCTCTGTGCGCTATGCGCATATGTCGCAAGGTCCCCGATCTTCAGGAGCACTTCCTTGAAAAGGCAACGCAACTCCTGTCCGACCGAAACCATGGTGTCCTCCTCTGTGGTTTGACACTTGTCACCAGTCTTTGCGAAGCAGACGAGGAAGAGGGCGGCGACGAAGGCATCGTGGAGAAATTTAGATCATTTGTCCCCGGTCTGGTCAAGACTTTGAAAAGTCTGTCAACTGCTGGATATACCCCGGAGCACGATGTTACTGGTATCTCGGACCCATTCCTCCAGGTCAAAATCTTGCGACTTCTACGTGTCCTGGCCGTGGGCGATGCGAACATTAGTGAGCAGATTAACGATATTCTGGCCCAGGTTGCGACAAACACGGATCCCTCTAAGAACGTCGGCAACTCGATTCTTTACGAAGCCGTCCTGACTATTCTTGATATTGAAGCGGATTCTGGCCTGCGCGTTTTGGGTGTCAACATTCTTGGAAAGTTCCTTACCAACAGAGATAACAATGTTCGATACGTGGCTCTCAACACCCTCATCAAGGTTGTTGCCATTGAGCCAAATGCTGTCCAGAGACATCGAAATACTATTCTGGAATGTCTTCGAGACCCAGATATCAGTATTAGGAGGCGTGCTCTGGACCTGAGCTTTACACTCATTAATGAAAGCAACGTTCGAGTGCTGATTAGAGAGCTCCTGGCCTTCCTGGAAGTAGCGGATAATGAGTTTAAGCCCACCATGACCAGCCAGATTGGTATTGCTGCTGATAAGTTTGCCCCAAGCAAGCGTTGGCATTTCGATACAATGCTTAGGGTGGTGACTTTGGCCGGTAATTATGTCAAGGAGCAGATCCTATCCTCCTTTGTTCGCTTGATTGCGACCACACCCGAACTGCAGACTTATGCCGTGCAGAAGTTATATATAAACCTGAAGAAAGATATCACACAGGAAAGTCTTGCTCAAGCTGGAGCTTGGTGCATTGGAGAGTATGCCGACGCTCTTTTGAAAGGCGGGCAGTATGAAGAGGAGGAATTGGTCGCTGAAGTCAAGGAGGGTGAGATTACCGACCTCTTCTCGCTTATTTTGAACAGCAGCTATGCCTCGCAAGTCACTACAGAGTACATTATCACTGCTCTCATGAAGCTCACCACTCGATGCTCCGACCCTGCGCAAGTGGAACGGGTACGGCGGTTGCTCCAAACTCACCAGACGAGTCTCGATGTCGAGATTCAGCAGCGTGCGGTTGAGTATAGCAATCTGTTCCAATTCGACCAAATCCGCCGCGGTGTTCTCGAAAAGATGCCGCCACCACAGATTAAGGAGGAATCCAGAGTGCTGGGTCCAGCGGCAACCAAGAAGTCCAAGGCTGTCAACAGGAAGTCGAAGATTCTCAAGCCCACAGAACATGACCTGCTCAGCCTGATGGATGTCCCAGGTGCAAGCACTCCTACCACTGGTGGTCCTGCTCAGAACAACTCGGATCTGCTTGCTGATATCCTGAGCGCCCCCAACACCCCTGCTCCCTTCTCACCTGGACACCAACAACAGTCTCACACCGCATCTATTATGGACCTCTTTGGATCCGGAGGTCCTGCCTCTCCAGCTCCTACACAAGCATCCTCCAACTTTGACTTGATGGGTGGCAGCACCGCCACCCCACCTCCTCAGGCCCAAGCTGCTCCCGGTCATCCTTGCTACAATGCTAATGATCTCAACGTGACGTTCCAAATCCAACGCAATGCCGAAGGTGTTATTCAAGCCCTGGCACGTTTCCAAAACACCTCAGGATCGGCTACCCTATCAAACGTCGGACTGCAGGCTGCCGTTCCCAAATCACAGAAGCTACAACTGCAGAGCATCACAACGGCGGATCTCGCTCCAGGAACCGAGGCCACGCAGGCGATGAGGGTCACTGGGTGCAAAGGGGTAAGACTACCGATAATCACTTTGGTTGGAGATACACATGCTAACATTTGGATTTCTAGCCCCTTCGCTTGCGCCTCCGCATCGGCTACTCTCACCCCACTGCCGGCCAAGTTATGGATCAAGTAAACTGGACTGAGTCTTCATAAATATAATCAATCGTGGCGTTGAGCAGGCAAAATCAGATGGTTACTTGGGCGCGCATGTCCCCAACACGGCGATGGCGGGCTGACTGCTCTGACAGCGACAGAGAAAGGGTTCAAATAAAAATTAGCAAATGGCAAGACCATGTAGTCCGGAGGGTGTTGCTCAGACGGACATGTGTAATGACGGGGTCCGGCTCTCAGGCGATTCGGGCGTAAATGTCGGATGTAGAACCCCGGGATATACTGCTGCCTTATTTATTCAAAATTCCAGGACATAGTTGGGGGGGTACGAGAACATAGATGAATATTGGGCACCTGTTTTTTACCTTGATTTTCTCTGGTTCGTGTCGTAGTTTGTGAACTTGCTGAGATCTGGGGACATTCTGAACCCCTCACGAGGGTCAGTGTTCTTTGCATACCGGAGCAGTTATCAGCGGTTTTGCGTAACGCGAAGCACAATTGGGCGCATGGGGACTACAGAGCATGAAGAGGAGGGAAGGCAAATTTTGTCATTGGTATCGTGTCTATCATGAGCTAGATGCACCCCGTATTACCATCTAAACACCAAACGCTGGGAACCAATCTTTTTGAATCTTTTCTGAAGCCCCATCCCATGCAGAAATAATATACTATACCAGAAATCCCGTTTTCCAACCCGCTGATGCCCCTTCTTTCCTTTCCCTCCAGCCCTTGCCATCGGCTTAGAGAGCCAGATCTTCTAGGTTCTAGCCGAATAGATCCTCAGCTCGTTTCCTGTTCTGCTTCTTCGCCCCTATCAACTCCTTCCCTGCGTTGTCACCTCCAAGCTTGACAGGGAACAGCTCCCTGGCACTTTGCGCCGTGCCCTTGATGCTGAATCCTCCATTGTTGCTGCGCGGATTCGCCGAACCCCGGATGTTGAAGTTACTGTTTGAGCCATGGGGCACGTCCACAATCTTAGGATGATCCTCTTCTGTGAGATGAGCCGAGCCCGTGGAGCTTTCGAGCTGATCGAGCTGGCCGCCACGACCGGATCCCTTGGTAGGGAAGAGCTCCTTGGATCGGTTGCCCCTGTCGGATGTGATGCGATCCTTAAGGGAGCGAGCCTTGACCCTGTTTCCAGCAGAACTAGCGCTTTCATCCATCGACATGTCACCGTCGCGGTCGCGGGTAGGCGACGCAGACCTTCCTCTGCCACGAGATGGCCTCCCACTGGAAAATAGCTCCTTGCCCTTGTTCTGCTGCGAGTATGAAGGCCGTCTCTCACGCGAGCGTTCACGTGACTCCGATCGTCGGCGCGAAGCTCGGGGTGCGTCGTCATACATGCTGGCTTCATAGGTCTCGATCTCATCGTCATCGGACCCCCTTCTCCTATGCCTGCCGCTGCCGCGGCTGTCGCGCTCACGGTACCTGCTCCTGTTCTCCTGATTCCGTCTTCGCCGCTCCTCGGGGTCGTGCTCCGGATGCAGAAGATAATAGCGGCTTCTTTGCGCAGCGCCGGCCTCCTTCCTATCGCTCTCGACTGCGAAGCGAATCTGGAGGGAGGTGTCGGGCTTGCCATCGACTGCCTTGGCAGGGAGGCTTTCGCCCACACCCAACGCTGTTGCGTCCGCGATTTCGATATTGCTCAATGCCACGAGAGCGTCACGCGCAACCGATTCGGAGCTGAAGACGAGGTTCGCGGATGTGTCGTCAATCCACTCGACTCTGTCGACCGAGCCGAAATGCGACCTCACGTACGTTTTGATATCGTCTGTGTGTAGTGTGTCGACTCCACGAACGTGGACCTTGTTGGGTACCACCGTCTGGGACTCGTTGCCCGCCGCTGTAGTTTCATCCTCAATGACCTCGCCGAGTTCTTCAGGCTCGTCGGGTTGCTTCAAGCCGCCATCAGTATATGGGTGCCGGGTAAGAGGGCCTGCATGGGAGACGCAAGAGAAGGCCTTACCAGAATATCGTTGTCCCTGGTGGGCTCCTCCATCAAGGGCTGCTGGGCAGCATCGCCCATCTCAATGTCCAGATCCATGGCGGGTGAGTTGACCGTGGATGCAGAGCCGCGAAACCGAAGAGATTGATGCTATCTCGGGGGATTGGAACGAAACCCGCCCAAGCCAAGGATGGCGATGTGTGAACGCACGCCTCAGGTGTGTTGGAGCTTCCCCCAGCCCGGACTGAGGCAAGACAGGAAGTATGTTGGGATAAAATCTACTGCATAGACTGCACAGAGATGTGCGTGCCAGATCGGGAGACGCTGGCGACACGGGGACTTTTGGACGAGGCGGATGACGGTGCGAGAATGCGAGAGGAGCAAGTGCAATTGAAGAGGTTCGCGAGTCGCGAACTGCCTGCTCAGCGCCTAGCGCCGGTCGGGGCAGTCGGAGCCGTCCAGCCCAGTAAAAGCGGTGCAGCTCCAGCGCAACAGCACAGGCAGGTACCTGCTACCTGCTACCTGCTACCTGGGGCAGCGTCTAGCGGACAAACCGCCAATTCAACAGCACTAAGGCAACCCTGTAGTGCCGGTGTGGAGATGTGGGTACCAGCAGCGGCTTTCCCTGCACCAGCCTGATCTCCAGAAGTCTATATCACGGGCGAAGCAGCCATCGTGGAGAGCGATTGGGCTGTCGCGTGCATATTGAAGCCGACTTTGGTTTGACTGGCCAGTAATACTTATACTCGACCTGCTGGCCCACGGCACGCACGCACGCGGCCTCCGTGCTGCGCAGCAGGGTATGACATAAGATTAGCTCACTCTCAGCAGAAATTCGACGGGCAGCTTGGACCGCAGCGCCCCAACGGCCAGGTATTAAGTAATATGCGTCGCATCCTGGCGGTTGAGTCTAGGCAGGCCCTTCTCGCAAGTCCCGCGCCTGCAGCCAATGGCGGAGGAGCAGCGTGCCTCAAAATAGCAACATCCGCAATCTGACCAAGTCGTATATTAAGAACACGCTGCCCACCGGTCGAGTCTTCCATCACTCCACCCAAACCACATCCAAAACAACAAAAAAATATCCAGAGCTGGGCTCTATTCACAACTCGAGAGCTGGTCTCCGTTCGCTTCTACTAACCCTATTTTTTGAAATACTTTTTTTTTCACACCACCAACCCCCCCTACCCGTAAAAAATGGTTGCCATCAAGAATATCGCCGTCGCAGCCCTCGTGGCCGGCCTCGCCGACCAGGCGCTCGCCATGCCCATTTCCGGATCCGCCTACGAAACGAGAGATCTCCAGGCGCGCAGGCCGTGGGATGAGGGCTCGCTCGCCCAGTTCTTCATCGGGTACCGCAAGCTCTTCCGCGCCAGCCACGGATTCCATGACCAGAAGCAGGCCAAGACTCACACCACCAAGGCCAAGTCCCACACCGAGACTCACGCTGAGGACCACGCCGAGGCCGACAAGGCGTCTGCGTCTGCCTCTACCCCGGAGCCCGCCCCGGAGCCCGCCGCAGAGGAGACTCCCGCCGAAGAGGCACCCGCTGAGGAGGCACCCGCCGCGGAGGCTGCCTCCGAGGAACTTCGTGACTATCAGATGGAGTTTGATGAGCGGGACATGGAGGAGCGATCATACTACCAGGACATGGAGGAGCGCGAGATTGAGCTCGACGAGCGGGACATCGAGGAGCTCTATGCTCGCTACCTCGCGAGCATGGAGGAGAGTGAGGAGTGAGGCTCCGCAAGTTCACGGAGACAGTCATCCTGGGCGCCCACGTCAAAGTTTTCGGTTGCCATGCTTCTGTGTGTAGGGCTGGTAGGCTAATCTCTGGTTTGTTGGCTCTCAATACATCGACGGTCATTTTTTTTTCATTGATAATCGAGCCTTCAGGAAACCCAATGAAACAAAAATGACCCAACTTCAATTCGCTGCAGCATACACCTCGGTTCCATTTCTTTCCACTTACATAGTCACTTCTCGATACTCCTTAATCCTATTTGGCTTCCTGAAGCTCTATCTAGCTACCTCTATCGTGTGTGTGTGTGTGTGTGTCGCATCATCCCGTGCTGTGTTATGTTTGCCAAATGGCTCGCTCCTCTATATCTAGTCATATGGTTCATATGAGTGAAGCGATCGTATAACAAGCAAGTAATCTATCTTTCCATTCCCCCACATCCATTCCCTCCCGCTGCCCAATCCAGAATGAATAACGCCAATTCCGTCCTCTTTAGCCAAAGCCCGTGGACATGCATTTCCTCTGTTGAACCGACGCCCTCGGACACGTTCTATACTTTGAAAAGAAAAAAAAGGAAAAAAACCCACTTCGTCGTCGATCTGCTATATGTCATGAATCATTAATAGCGACTGACAAGATCGCTCTCATACCTCGCCTTGAAATCCAGTGCGTCGGGGATGCATGTTCGCGCGACCTTGGCCCTCGGTGCCTCGCTCTCGCCATCAACCGAGCCGTTGCTCACCAGCCCTCCCGACTCCATCTCTGCCGAGTTTCGCTTCAGTGACACCGAAGGCGTCAGGGTGGTTACCTGAGGCATGGACGGGCGTCGTGGGCGCACGTCGGCACCCTCCCCATCCACGTCTCCGTCGCCATCCCCATCTTGGTCGAGGAATCTGTCAAACGCCCAGCTCGACTCCAACCCTTCCATATAGACGGGGAAATCTCTGATCATATTCCACGAGAGCTTCCCTCTCCTCAGCGCCACGTACATGGATTGGATCCGCCCGGAGCCATCTCGGACGGCGCAGCGCCCCATGATGAGACCCATATCGTAGGTCGTTCTGTTGATTTCAGGCTCGAGCGGCCGTAGCATCGGGAGCCCTTCGAGCCTCCTGGCGTCGCACACCTTGGCTTCCAGAGGCTCCCATGCATTATTTTCCAAGACTGGATGAAAGAATTTGGAGATCGCCGACGTGATGGCCTCCGCACTGTAACCTTGCACGGGTACAACGCGTTGCAGCCCACGGGAGAGACATCTTTTGTATGCGGCAGTGTCCTTCTCGAAGGGGAAGGGTTGGTCCCTCGATGGGAGCACGGAGACATGCATCGTCCATACCCCCGAGGGTATGATGGCGGTAGGTACGGGCGCCTCACTGAGGTCTAGTTGGACTGGATGAATGGGTGATTGACTGGAGGTGTCGCATTTAAGCTTATCGGTTGTTGAGTGGTGTTGCTGGGATGGGCTGGGGGAGTGTTTCGGTGCAGGGATGTCTGCTTCGGGGCTGGCTGATCGACGCTCACCTGTGGGTTGACGTGATGAAGTCGGCTGCTCAAGCTGTTCGATCCGCTCCTCCAGCATCTCGTCAGTCTCCAAGAGCTCCAGGTTGCGATTCCGCAAGTCATCCAGCTCTTTCCCTGCCCTCTCCAGCTGCACGGTCTGGAGGTTCTGTTTCTCTTCAAACGTCGACAGCCTCTTCTGCAGTTGCTCCACCAGACTCCATGCTGCCGACATATGCTTGTACGATGATTTGAAATCCGTCCGTATTTCTTCCTGGTTTCTTTCAACAGCTTCCTCCATCTGGCTCAGGCGGTGGATGGTCTGGTCCAACCTCTCCTGGCCGTCGTTCGTTGATAATAGTTGTTGTTCCAGGACCTGCACGCGCTGCCTCAATAATTCCACATCATCATGGTGTTTTCCTGGCGACAGGGAGTTTGCAGAGTTCATGTGGAAGCATGCGAAATGGCCGCACTCGCATATCACGCCAGGAACGGTCTTGTTCTGACTAAAGCTGACACAACCACATCGGTACCCTTTGAGCTCTGGCATGGTTAAAATGTAACGGCAGTGGCCTCGCGGCAACTCATCACCCTGAAAGGCGGTTGGGGTTATTGATGAGGATTCTTGTTCTGGCGCTGGCGCTGAGGCTCCCAGGGGAGCCTCGAGGGGATGGGGTGCAGGTGATGTCGCCATGGGATTTTAACGTGTAGGTCTGCGGCTAGGTAACAAGGAGGTATTTCGTCCATGGGATGATGCATAAAGGACACAAGCTGAGTTGAATGGAGATGAGCTCTTTCAAAGGCAGAGCAGGCCAGGAGCAGAGCAGCGCGAAAAGAGACCAAGATTTCTTGCGTTTGCTGGTTGATATGAGACTGAAAGAGGCCGGAATGTCACGGATCAGCGTTTGGCACAAGGGTATGCGCGACATGCCCTTTCAAAACGTCGATGGTGCCTCGCGAACCGCGGGAGTTGGGTAACCTGAGGTACCTGTCAGGGCCCGGGCCGATGTCCAGACGTAGGAGGGTGGGATGAATGATATGCCATGTTCAGAGCGAAATGCTACTGGTGCTGGGGACAGGCGAAACCACGCCCCCGGCCGGAGCAAAGAAAAAAAAAACAGGGCGATGCATGTAAGTAGAGAACCGACCCGTTGTGCGTTACCACGACCCGCCGAGGTTATCGCAAAACATCCCACGGCGCTGAGCAAAATGTTGACTCCGATCCCCAGGCCGACGATGCTGGTTGGCTCCCTGCTCGCGGCCATGCGCCCGCGAGCGAAATAGGCGGCATCACACAATGTAATATGCCGTGGGGGGCTCTCTGCTAGCAAGGACAGGCTGGGGTGCTGTCACGACGTTGCCTCGTTGAGCGAGCAGAAGTGGTCCCTGGGGGTGGGGGACACGCTGAGATAGCGAGATAGGAGATGGCTGCCTGTGATTGGGCCGTCTGAGGACCCTGGAGGGCGCTGGCGAATACGAAGGCTCGACAGGAATTGCGCTATGGCCGACCCCTGGCTGCACAGGCGAGACGGGGGCTGCGGGCCTTCATCCGGGCTGCGGGACCTAATGGTGATGATTCGAGAACAAGGTGACTGGTACGGTGCGGGCCTATGGGTTCATGTTAGTCGATTGGGTGCCTGCGCCAAGGCACGGCCATCGGACTAGAGGCATAAAAAAAACGTAACAGGGTGATGCACTGATGATCTGAGCTTCCGCACACGGTGCGAAGCTCAGTATCCTCCGAAATTGCGCGACCCCCACGCTGAGGAGCCGTGGAGGTTTGGAAAAGCTGCGCAGTTGCCACTAACCGCACCACAAGTGGCTGGGGGCGCTTTATTGGTGGTGTTGGGGGTGGGTTTGGCGTTGTGTAACACGCCGAAACTGATGCTGAGCACAATCGTGCGTGATCCGTGAGCTAAAGTGCTCACAGCCCTCCGCATCGCAGAGGTGTGGTGTGTGAGGGGCTGCAACACCCTGAAGCAGATGCCGGTGTGCAGTAGCAGTAGGACATTAGACAAGCATAAGAACCAAACAGGTGTCATTATTGACTATTCACATGCAAACAACATGAGCACTGCATGCTACTGATAGGGCTACTGTATGATCCTGAACATGATAAGTGCAAGGTATCGATGGCGACAGTTACACTGGCACACCCTTTTCCGATTCCTGAGGGCTGTCTGCGTCTGCGGTGGCGCGCGCCACATTTTGAGCGACTGTGGCGGGAGCGGGGTCAAGCCACAACCCTGAGTCCTCCCCGCGACTCATTCCTAAACCTTCTCTGTGGCGCATGAGAAATTGCCCCGCCAGATCCAAAAATTCAGCGCCGAAATGGCTTCAAGATAGGTGCTAAACTATAGGCATTGGAGTTCCTGGTCACAGCCATCCGCACACGGCATCCTCATTTCCACGTCATCAGATCGAACGCCTTGTACCACGCTGGGCAGAATTGTCTTTTGCTGCGTGGCCTTACGATCCCGAATTGCCCCTCCGTGATACAAACACTGCGTGCGCTGTGTCTTCTGGCCGACTCCACATTTCAATATTCGGTCCCCACCAAATTGAACACCACACCGTGCTACACCTGATGAGCGATGCAACGACACTGAGAGTCTCATACCCCGATCCCGAACCATGCCTCAAGACCCTGCTGCGGCCCTCAGCGCCCTGCTGCGCTCTTCGTCCATAGATGACCACGAGGAGATCCTCAAGGCCGCCAACGCCGCCATCAAAGCCGACAAGAGCGACGTTGGCCACCAGCACACTCGAATCATCGCTCTGCTGAAGCTCGACCGCTTCGATGATGCCCTGCGCGCCATTGCCGAGGGCGGGATCGTCATCGAGGCGAAATGTGCGCTCGCAAAGGCATATGCACTCTACAAGATCGGTAACCTAGAGGACGCCGCGTCCGTCTTGAAAGCCGTCGGCTTGGTTGACAGGAGCTTCCAACATGTCGCTGCACAAGTCGCCTACCGTGCCGAGAGGTTCGACGAAGCCCGCGAAATATACCAGAGACTGCTGGACTCCGACGTCGCCGGGGAGGAGAGCGATTTGAACATCAATATCAAGGCTGCCATTGCCCAGGGCGAATGGCAAGGCACTGCGTCGTCCGAACTGCCTGTGGACCACGAGGAACTGGACACATTCGAGGTTTGCTACAACGTAGCCTGTTATTACATCGCCCAAGGAGATCTTAGCCGGGCTTCAGGCCTCCTTCAGCGGGCAGTCAAGCTGTGCGATGCCTCGGATGATCTGACGGAGGAGGACAAGGAGGCGGAAATGCAGCCTATTCTGGCCCAGCAGGCATATGTTTATGCCAAGCTGGGCAAGGTCAAGGAGTCTCTGGACTTGCTGACATCTTTGGGATCTGTAGAGTGAGTGATGATGAGTTTGGCTCAACGCGAAGATGCTAACATCGTGAAACAGGGAGAATGACGTCGACCTGACACTTGTCACCGAAAACAACCGCATCGCACTTGATTCAGCCTCCGCAAACCCTTAC